AAACCTCTGTTTATTGGTACTGTGGATGGTTGCGAAATCCAGAAGTCGCACCACCTAAGAAACCATGGTTGAAACCACTGTTTGTTGGTATTTACAGGGAATCCGACCATTTTAGGGCTTGTTAGGTGCAGGATTTTGTCCATCCACAGTATGGGGGTGTCCCCGGTTTTAGTGTGGATTCAAGCCACTTTTGGAGAAGAACACCCCCATATTAGTTAACAGGGGTTTTTTAATCCGGAGACCAGTGGGCATCCAAGTTCTGCACTCTGTACCGCTGTAATCGTGGGATGTTCAGGGACTCCAAAAGGACAGAAAGCAACACATGCCGCATCCATGCCCGGACGCGTCTTGTCCGTGTGCTAAAAATCTGAGCCAGGATTGGGGCCATCGGGGAGAAGTGGTTTCTGATTAGGTGTGTCTCTTTTCTTTGTTTTAAGGGGACCCTCCAAAATAGTGGTTGTCCGTTTCCCTTTAAACTCCGCCAAAATTAAAAGCGGGTACCCTCAAACGAAACAGACTCATGTGGCATATGGGCGTGTGTCAAAATAAGGGGACCCCCATTCAGGTGGCTTTCCTGGCGTGCCGTTAAAGCCACCCCAAGGGTTCTGACTCTTGCGTCAAGCTGCTTCAGAACTTCTGCCTTTCATACAGTACCCTATGCTGAAATCAATCAGTGTGTGTTGGTTTAGTATCTGCCTGGAGTCTCCCTGACCCTTCAAGAATGGGTCAACGACCCCATTATTTTGGGTAATGACCAACCATTTTGTAAGGGTCCTTAGGGAGACTCCAGGTGGAAGCAAACCAATTTTCGTGTACTTGCCGTCCTTTTTTCTTTTTAGCTCCCAGTGTAGTGGACCGCGAGATGCGAGTCAGGTTCTGTACCACGAGTTTGTGCTCACCTCGAAGAACTTCATCCGGACAGTGACCCAAGCTGCTGAGCAGAGGTCAGCCACAAGCAAAACCCGGGTAGATGAAGGTTAGCTAGGTCCCCCAGTGCCCTTTTACCAACTTTGTTTGGGGAGGGTTCCCCTACTAAAATAGACTACAGAAAAAGGGTACCCTTATTCTAACCTCTCCACTGGAGGACTAGTTAGGAAGGGACAATCCCAGCCATGAATAGCGGCGGATATCCGCCTGCTTAATTCTTTACATGGTGACCATTTTAGTACCGGGTTTGAGTGTGACTCACATGAGGTCTGGTCGAAACGTCGGACTTGTTGTCTACGATGTATTGAGGGACATGGGCGACTCACTAGCTTCCCCCAAGCTAGGGGAGCGCTAATTTCCCAATGTCGTCTTGGGGGAACACGTTGTTTTGACCATGCCTCATAGGACTATGCTGGGACCTCTTTTGACATCATCCATATGGACGTGTCTCTTTTCGAGATTCCTTCTTGGTTTTGGATTTAGAGACAGACTCTTATGTTTAGGCTTATTTAGCTTTACTAATCATGAAATCTGGGCGTGGCTCACTCAAGGTTCCAGGGACCATAGGCTTCTGGGGAACACTGGTGATGGGGGTAACTTTTCGCCATGGCTCCGAAACCATGGCTCACTCAGGTTTCGATTGGTCCATCCCAAGCTTTGGGGACAGCCCGTGGAATGAGCCCGCGGCTTCTGACATCAGACTGGCGGCCTTCAACCTTCAACCTCCCCCGCAGGCTCAACATAAAGTTGGGGCGGGTTGGATCCCTATCTTCTGATAAAATGAGGAGGTCAACCTTGGAGCCTCTAGGGGTAACCTTCCTTTGGGCAAACCAGGTGTTTTCTTTTACACACAAGCAAACAGTGAAACTGGGCCTGGGCAAGGGCAAGAGTTCCCCAGACCCACATGTGGCAATGGCCATCCAGTAAAGGCCATATAGGTGTGGGTGAAATTAAGCCACCAGGGGACCGCAGGTTTTAGTCTTTGGTTTCATTTACCAGAGCAACCCATTTTAGGGTCACCCTATTTTTGACCCACAGCCATATTTGTGTTTTTGGCGTCCCTTCATCGTTTCTTTGCTTCGCACAACGCTGAGGTCCGGGGCGAGTGGTTGCTGGAGATCGCGCCCAGCTACTACGACGTGAGGAGAGGGCAGTGGGAGTCTAGGAGCTGCCCAGAAATGACATGAGCGCCCAGAAAATCTAGCCAGGCAGTTCTACTGGTTTTCCTTGTGCATATAAGAAAGCAGCCTAACATGGGTGCGTCTCTTTTTGAAGCTGCCCCATGTTTGGCTGGTTTTAAAGGGACAGGGAAAAAAAAATCCATTTCTGGGGTGTCCGATACCTAGAAGACGAGGCCATCTATATAAATCAGTCCGTTCTCAGCCAAGGATGGCGAGCCTCACACTTACCTGCCAAAGCGCTAAGCTGGCTGAGTCTGTTTGCAGTGGCAAAAGCTAGGACAACACCAGGGTTGCCCCCCAAGAAACAACCAAAAGCAAAAATAAAAAATGATAAACACCCCCCACAAAGTGACAATACCAGGCTTGCCCCTCAAAAAACCAACCACACATATAAAACACAAAAAGTTGAACCGCCCCCCCCCCCAACAAAAAAGCAAAGAGTGGATACACCCGACAACGCGGTCACCACAAGCCACCAGCAAATGCGCTCAACGTTCGCTTCGTATCGCTCGCTCCGCGTCAGGAACTTCCCGAAGTCGGAGGCGAAGACGCAGCTGGAGCGCCTGAAGGCGCCGAGTGGATTCGTTTTCCGAAGCCGAGAAAGGCGAGGCACGGGGAGTTCCCCATGGGGAGTTCCCCATGGGTGAGAATGGTGCGCTTTGTTGGAGCGCGCCCGTGGTTTTGTTGTTTCTCCTTTGGGTTTCAATAAAAGCCGCCAAAAAAAGGGGGGTATGTTGATTCGCATACCTTTGACATGTTGCAGTCTTATCATCACAAGTTGTTGCCAATGATGCTTGCGACAATGTGCCACTACGCAGATGCACAATGGCATATGTTTATATATGTATATATTGAGCATTGATTTCAGATTGACGATTTGTGATATAATTAGTGAGCCTCTTGACTGGTGCGACAGGGTTGTGGCTTGCAGGTGTGCTGGAGCCTGCGCTTATGATCTATCGTTGAGGTTTGTTGTCACCGTTCAGGAGTCAGAATCCTAGGGCTGCGTGCTTTCCTAATTTCCCCAAGTCCCACCTTACCTGGTAAGTGGGCAAACTTCAAACTCGTCGGTTGTTTCCTTCATCGGTTTAGAGCCGTTGTTTGAACTTCTTGTGGCCGGATCGTCAACTCAGATATGAGGTCTGACCACATAGGGCGACGTCCTTACGACTGGCAGACCCAATTGCGTTGCTCGTTTGGTCAGTTAGTCTGTTGGCTTGGTCGCTTGATCGGTTGGTCGCTTGATCGCTTGGTCGCTTGGCCGCTTGGTCACTTAGTCGCTTGGCTGGCTGGCTGGTGGGTCGGTCGGTCGGTTGCTGGTTGGTTGGCTGGTTGGGTTGGGTTGGGTTGGTTGGTTGGTTGGTTGGTTGGTTGGTTGGTTGGTTGGTTGGTTGGTTGGTTGGTTGGTTGGTTGGTTGGTTGGTTGGTTGGTTGGTTGGTTGGTTGGTTGGTTGCCCAGTTCTCAAAGGTGATCCTATTGGTGTCATTGTCCATTTGCTGGCAACTGACCTGCAAGTGCCTGTTTGGCTGGTTGCGGTGAGTACTATGTTTCGGCTCTGCGATGCTAAAAGAAGCGATGCCGAGTTTCCCCCAGCAAGCTACGAATCCGAATGAAAAAAACACCTGAGTCTTGTGGACAATGCCCCTTATGACCTACCAAGTCGCTGTCCGAAAGTGTCCCTCGCCCTGCAACAAAGTGTCACCAACTTGGGGGTCGGTACCATGCACCGAAGCTACCGGCCTAGGCCAAGCGGGGCAAGCCCCAGCACCAGTGAGTGGCATCTCTGTCGCGTGCGCAGCTCTCGCGCTCTCGTGCACGGAGGGGAAAAAGCAGGTGCTCGCAACGGTTGTGCCTGAGCTCGGGGCTTTTGCAGTGGGCTCTTTGGACCACGCCCGCAAATAGTGAATCAGGAGAGACTTCCCTCTGCTTTCTGCACAAGGAGTTTCCGCACCAACCTGGGCAAAGCTCTGCCAGGTGGCACGACTTTGGTTCAGTCCGCAGCCCTCCTTTTGATTTCCCATGCGTTCCCTTTGAACTCCGTTGAGCATGTGCCCAAGCAGACCTGTTTTCTCCACCGGTTGCAAGTTCTGTTTGTTTTGTTTTTTTTAGCCATTGGGTGCTCCTCCCTCAAGGCATAGGGTTCACCTTCATTTCTGGGTAACAGCTTGTTCAAAACATCATGTTGCACCCAAACACGGCAATTCTGCAGGTGTAAACGAGGCGGGTTTCAACGGCAAGAAGGATGGGTCAGCAGACTGCAAATCACACACATGGTTTATGCAGGGTTTGATTTCTGCAGCTCACCCAGACTCCTCCAAACTGCAATCACTGCTTCCCTGCTTTGCCACTTTTGTTGGGTGCGCAAGTCACCTTGCTGGAAAGGTGCCAATCTATTGCAGAAGTAGCCCTTGGCCAGAGATCCCCGCAGTTTTTGAGAACTTTGCAGGCAGGTCAACCAGGGGAACTCTGGCCAAGGGTGTTTTGCGGGCAGTTGAAGTACCCCTTGGCAGGTCGTTTCCACGATGTTTATGTTCTCAACTAGCTGTGTCGCGGGTGTGAAAAGCAGAAGCCAGGAAGGGATGAGCTTGGCATTCCTTGGGTGAGATGAGTCACTGCTCATTTGCCCCAGCACCCTATTGTTAGGTGGTTTTTCCTTTTTGTGCTCCTTTGGGGGGGTGTACTTTCAAACACAACCAGCAAAATAGGTCAGAATCAGAGCAGGGTTTGCCCAGCTTTTTCTCCCTGAACCTTCGGTGCTCCTACTCTTCATGATTGTTGTTGGGAAACATTTTACATTCTTGCTTATTGTGGTTTAGTGGGAAATCCCCACTTAACTCCTAAGATTTAGATTTTTGCCCCCCTTCCAACGTCAACCAAGTCTTCAGCCTGAGGGCCGGCTTCCTTTTCGGGTGCGCGGCAACGTTTGGTGCGCCTGGCGCTCAAGCGCATGGGGGAAGCCGCTGAAGGGACATGGCATCGAATGGGTGGCTCCTCTTTTTTTTAGGGGGCACCCCAAAGATGTGTGTGTGTGTGTGAGTTTTTTCCTGTTGGTGTCCCCTTTTTTCACTACGAAGAAAGGGGGCGGGGGGAGGGGGGGTTCCGGTTGGTGTTCCTTTTTTTAAACTACGAAAGCAGGGGGCGGGGGAGAGGGAGGTTCCTGTTGGTGTCCGTTTAAGGCGACGAAGAAAAAAGCTGGGGGGGGAACCAACTCAAACAACTAGATTAACCGACCCAGATGGCATCACGTTGGAGCATATGGGGTTCCTAGGATGTCCGCTCGGAAATACAACTGGCCGCGCATTTGGTGGGAGTCGTGCCTCCGGTCGACCGAAGCATCACCCCTTTTGGGGATCCCCAGGCTTTGGTTTCCTTGGATGAATGGGCGTGCCCTGGAAAAGCCCAACCAACCCACAAAGGGTCCTTTCCGCCTTTCTTTCAGGGAACCCTTTGCTGTGTGGTAAGGAAACCAACACATGACACGTCCATAAAGGGCGTCCAAATTCCCAATTTGCGCGTAGCATGCTACTGGTGTTTGCTATGGGTTGCATATCCAACTCAGTTCGGTCAGACCGGATCCATATTAGGTGGCTCGTCTTTGTAGAATTTAAGCCCCCGCGACATGGTGCAACGGCATTCCTTTTTGTTGCCCTTTAAACTCGCACAAAAGGGTACCCTAGGAAAAGATGAGACACAGCCATATCGAACTTGCAAATTTAACAATGGAGCTGCTGCCTTTCACCCTTCAAAACCTGTCTTCATATCTGATTATCCAACGCCACAGATGGTGCGTAGAACAAGCACACCCGAGCTAACCCAAGATGACGATTTTGTTGTTTAACTTTCGAACTTCTCATTTCCGGTTGAGATGTAGAATATAGTACATGTGTTCCTGTTAGCGTGTGTTCCTTAAAACAGAAACCTGTCAAACGCACTACCTGACGCGTATGACATATCAAGTTCCTGTCAAGACGGGGCCCATGTTGGCAACTCCCAAGCTACAGCACTTTGCTCAGTCGAATGCGTGATCCTGAGGTAAGGACTGCAGCCGGCTGCTATCATCGGGCGCGCGGCTCGTGTCGGATGTTGGCTCTTGATTGGTTTGTGGAGTTTCTAGAGTTATCTCACTTTGCGATATTCTGCACTTTACGCTTTTTGTAGTGGTGAACAAACATGTTCGATCATTTTGGCCACTCCCCTCAGGAACTTTGTCGTTGGATTGCTATCATGTTCAAAACAATACAAACAACTCAGCATGGGAAGTTGAAGAGTGGGCATTGGTCGAAAGCAGTGTGCCAACGGACACCATGAAGTTCTGCCTTTTGAGAAGCTCCGGGTCTGATGAAGGCTGCAAGAAAAGCTGCTTGTACCTCCCCAGATCGGAGAGAATGCCCAGGAACTCCGCAGGATGCACATTCAATCAGCAGAACAACTGATCATGGTTGTTGTTGGGCAACATTTTACATTGTTGCTTGTGGTTTAGTGGGAAATCCCCACTTAACTGCTAAAAAGTCAATTTTTGATCCCCTTCCAATGTCAACCAAGTGATTGTTTGGGAGTTACTTGGCTCGGTGAGATGTTGAACCGAGAATATGCAGGGAGTTTTGAAGTTTTGCCCGGAACTCGTCTTGGGCGTTTTTTTGTGACCCCAGGTGCGGCTGACTGTCAGCGGAGTGGCAGTCACGCCGGGGCCCAGAGGGCCAAGCGGAAGCTGGAGTTGGGTCCACTGAAAAGACCTCGCTCGGAGGTTTGCAAAACCACACCACGTAAGCCCCGACTTTTGGGGCTGAAGATGATGCCGGCACCCTGGAAGGAATGGGTGGCGTTCGACACCTGCCGTTTTGAGGAGAGACACAGAAGGGCCACGAAGTGGAGGGTGGCTTTGTCTCCACTTTGGGCCCTGAGATCAGAGTCTCATAGGGTTGGCATCATCGAGAGCGCCAGGTTTCTCGCGCACTGCAGAGATCGTGCATTCGTTCCTAGTCGGGATGAGAAGCTTGGACAGTTCGGCTCCAATACTTCCTTATGTGACTTGCGCTCCATGCACTCTTCATTGTATAGACATAGCCATCATAGCTGATCGTCAGATGTTCTTTGAACTGAAGACAGATGGTGTAGACGATGCATGAAGCATTTCTTGATTCTTCACGGTTGATCACGACTCGTCAGTTGTTTGAAGACTTGACCCACCAAGGGCGAGGGTTTCGGCGGGGGGGTGGGGGGGGGGCATCTCAAGTCCGGGGGAAGCTTTCGCAATGGCCAGTCCTCCGTTCCAATGGAAAACAAGATGTTTGAGATTGCTATTCCAGACGGGCTTCTTCAATACGGAGGCCCCAAACTGGCGGTCTTCCTTTTGGTGTTCAATAGAATTCAAGTTGAGAAAGGTACCCTCAAAGAAGCACACACCCGGATCGTGGCGCCTGGTGACGGCGTGGTCAATAGCCAAGCTCGAAGCTGCCGAATCAAAAGCGCAAGAAGCCTAACTCGAAGCAGATGGCTGACGGAATGCCCACACGCGTGTACGAGTTGGGCGTACGAGTTGCCGGCCGCTACTGGACATGCCCGACGCTTTCGTGCCGTGGGCTAGATGAGAGATGAGAGATATATCAATTGGCTCCAATGCCGAAGACAACAACCGGAGACAGGAAGGCAATCTAGTTGGCATTGGCAGTGCGAGCTTCATATGAAGTATTGAAAGCCTGCACAATGTGCAAATACAACTAGATGCGTGCATGCATACTGTTGCGCATTGCTGAGACGCCAAAGGGAAGTAGTCAGAGACCACCTTTCAATTCCTAGCCAGCAACTTGTCGTTGTCGCCGAGTGCTGTCCTGGATACAACTTTGGATGGCTTGTGTTTAGCTTCCCTTTTAATTTAAACAGCCCCCAACAGGCTAGCCCAAAAAGAACACGTCCGCATGCGCACATCACCTTTTCGGGTCACAAACGCCGCTTGCAGACGATTCCATCTTGGTGAAAACCCCCCCCCCAGCTTGAGGATCTCAGCTGGGTCATTGCCTTGTACTTCAGGACTGTTGGAGTACTTCCGTTGTCTGGAAGAGATGTGGCTGTGGCTCAAAACACTGGTACCAAAATGCAACCCTGCTAAGTGGAAGCGTGGATCAAAACCTGCGTAACCCCTCCTGTTTAATTTTGAGCCACACCCATGTGGGGTTCCACTACCCAGCAACAGACATATAAGCTGTTTATGTACAGGGCAAACGTCCAACTGATATGGACGTGGGTGGCATGAGGTATGCCCCTTTATCCATCCTTATCCTATGTATAACCATGGTTACAACATCTTACAACCTGCAACACAGCAGGGTGAAAGACGATGGCACAACTCCCTTTACGCCCGCAAGTTTGTGTTATCTACTTTAACCCAACACCTGAACCCTCGCAGGAGGTTGGTGTAGGGGGAACCACAATGAAAACGACATGAACCCGTTACAACCTTCCCTGACTAACATAGAACTGACAAATTCACCTATACTGTAGAAGAGTGTCTTCCATTTGCTCAATATTTTTGTGTGCCCTGTTGGTTTTAAAGGGAATCGATTTCACTACTGGACATATTTTTATTTTTTCCAGGGGTCTTAACCAAATGGAAGATATCCTTGGGGATTGGACCTGTTTTTTGGGTTCCGTCTGAAAAAAAAGCTGGGTATAGCTTCCTTTAAGGGACGGATCGCAAAAGAGGGGACCATATACCTACTTAACGAAGCCGAGCAAAATGGAGGTGTCCAATCACCATGTAGGTAGGAACGTCACAGAAAGGGCACACCACCAAATCAAGCAGGGTTTATGAATCAATTCCCGTGAAGTTCGTCATTCTTACAACCAAATCTTGGAGGCTCGGAGCAAGAATGATCAACTCGAAGTGACAACTCCAATGACTATTCGAGGGAAGAATGACTAACCCTTCGAGGCTCCACTAGGTCCCAGTAGTGCCCTTCTCTCCCCTTTTTTGGGGAGGGTTCTCCTACTAGAATAGACTACAGGAAAAAAGTTGGTACCAACTTATTCTAGCCTCTCCGCTGGAGGACCTCGTCTATATCCTTAGTCTCGGAGCAACCCTCGAAGGGTTCCCAGAACACGCCGAATCTCGGGCGCCTCAGGTCCGTGCGCCTCACCCGCACGCACGCGCAGCACGGGCTCGCCACGCTGCGCCTGGCGGCGGAATCGGCGGCGCCGAAAGGCGCGTTGGGGGGGAGAGTTTTTTGGGCCCCGGACAGTTGGGTGTGGCTCAAAATGTAACAGGAGGGGCAAACCGCAGGTGTTGGTCCATGTTTCCACTTACCCCCTATGCTTCCTCGACAATTTCTTTCATGGGGGTTGTTCAACCCCTATTTCTTGCATTGACAACCCCTACTTTTTGACATTGGCCTTTGGGGTCCATGTTGGGTTGTTACTTATAAAAAAATCATCGAAATTTACGCCTGCTATTGCAACCTCTTAAGCAGCCTTGGGAGCCAGTAGATTACTATTTGTTGATAGGGTTCTCGGGGCCCTTTCGTGTTTGCGCAATGCACCTGCTGAAAGTCTTGCGTAGACGGAGCCTTCATTCTAGCAAATACTATATTTTTCCTCAGCAATTTGCGCAGGTGGCACGAACAACAAAAAGAACGTGAGCGTAGACAAACCGTAGACAAAGCGTAGAAAAACAGTAGAAACGCAACTTTTTGCCGTAGAACCACATTTTTTTGGCGTAGAACCACTATAGAGCGGGCAACTTTTGCAGGGGACCCAGAAGATCAACATTCTCATACAGGAATGGTTGCTGTGATGGGTAGATATTTTTGCTGTCCTTTTTTGGTTTGGCTATGAAGGTGGGGCAAAAGAAGGACAGAAACGGTCAGAAGAGGGTTCACCCTCACGCGCTACATGGCCATGTTAAGAAACCAAGCAACATAGAAGCCAACATTAGCCTTGAAGATTGTAAATCATATTGCTGCATATGAAAATACAGGCCCTAGCGTCAAGTGTTTCCTAGCCCTTGTTCCAGTCCAAAAGGAGGCTGCCGCTCGTCATCAAAAAATAGTATTTATCAAACAAACAAAAACGGGGTTGTCACAACGGCTATTTTTAATAGGCTTTGGAAGCATAGGGTATTAGGGTTTCCTTGAAAATCGTGCACTTTCTTGAATTATCCTTTTTAATTTGCAGGGGAGTAAGGGTTTCCCAAAGCGATGGTTTTTATCCAACTAATTTCTCCCGCACCCTGATTTGGTTTCCCTTTCAGGCAAATCCACCCAACCTCCACCCGCCCCCGCCCCCCCCGTTTTGAAGGGGACCAGGGTTGGGCAAAGCTTCTTGGAAACAACCAGACCTTGGCTCCCCGTTGACGTGGAACTAAAAGCAGGCAGTTTAAACACTAGTTTTGTGATACTGTGGATGGACGAAATCCTGAACCACCTAAGAAACCTGGAATGTTTGATTCCCTGTAAATACCAACAAACAGTGGTTTCAACCATGGTTTCTTAGGTGGTGCGAATTGGAATTCGTCCATCCACAGTAGGTATTTACGGTATGGGTCAAAGTTAAAGCATTCGGATATGGACCGCAGGTTTCAGTAGCCAATCTCATGTCCAAAGTCTAAGGAAATTCACATAGGCTGTGGGTCTAAAATAGTGCAACCCCCAAAATGGGTTGCCCTGGAAATTAAATGGATACATCGGATTTGTGTCCACCAGTTCAGAACTCAGGGCCTTCTTTGGGGGGACCCCAAAATGGACTTCCACCCCAGAACGCCAAAAGGCAAAGCACAACTTTTGGGCAAAACACACCCCTCAAAATGGGGGTTCCCCGCAAAAAAGGAAGTGCCGGCTTTTTTTTGGGTTTCCAACTTTTGAGCAAAAAAGACCTCTTAACAAGGGGGGACCCCGCAAAAATGGAAACCTTAGCTTTCCCTTGAGTTTCCCTTGCCAGAAAGGATGCCCTCAACAGCGACCGTCCCAAGGGCGACCCATGTCTGCGGCTCGGCCCCAGGTGCCGAAGCCATCCTTCGCGCCGTGGATGCAGCAGGTCGGATCATCGGATCCGATCGGAGCTGAGTTCGGAGTTCCTTGCGGAAAAGGCGACCCGCTCCGAGGGTTGCTTCCGAGCCTAAAAATAAGGCTTTGGACCTCCAAATGGTTTGTTTCAAGTCCGGTGTCCGTTTTCGGAGGCGACCCTTTGTTAGGGCCGTTTTGCTTCACCAAAAGGACAGTCACTGGATTTCCCCAAATCAAAGGTTGATCAATGTACTTGTGGTTTCCATTGAAACGATCGGAATTTCCACTTGGTGGTTTCGAAAAAGGAAATGGCTCGGAAAACCTGAGATGAATTTGAGTTGATTGACCTGTTCCCAACCCCACAAACTCATAAACATGGTTGATGGGGGAAGGGGATCCTTTGTGGGTGGTGTCTTTAGGTGGGTTCTTAGCTGATGATTGGAAACGTTCATTTTGCTCGGTTTCCATCCGTGGGGAAGTGTAAAGGGTCATTGCCTGCTCATTTGCTCGTCCCCAAAAACCAGGGGTTCCCCACCCCCACAAAGCCAACATGGTTGAAGGAGTTCCTTCCCCCCGCCACACAACAAACATGGCTGATTGGGGTAGAGGCGGGGGTAGGTAGGGGGGGAACACATGCGACACAACAAACACGACTCCTGGTTCTTTACAGCTGCAGACGAGATAGGTGGTTTCATTTTCAACAAGCAAACGCATTGGTAGTACTGTGGAGGGACGAAATCCTGCACCATGTAAGAAACCCTGGAATGATGCCCCCGTAAATACCAACACACAATGGTGTCGCATGGTTTCAAAGTGGTGTAGGATTTCGTGCATCCACAGTAGCACCATGGATCATCATTGATCCTCCCCCATTCAGCGATTTCGTACGCAAGAATGTCATATGGTGGGAGGGCGGACATGAAGGCTGGCTATCGGCCAATCATTTTTTTATGCATGGCAAGTAAGGAGCAGATGATTGTTTGTCTCAAGACATGGCCCTCTCCAACCTCTGAGTTTAATGCGGGCCTTTGCTTATATGACTGAACCGCCGTGCCGCAGATCATGACAGTGTACGAGAGCCTGTTCACCGAAAGCCCTGCGACACCCTTGAATCGACTTGTACGTTTATTAGAGGGCCATTGATTCTTGTGTCTGGCTTCACGAGCAAACCATGATGAACTATTCGCAAGTATTCAAGTGTGTGAGCGATGATTCCTGTGGCATTTCCCACGTCATCAGACATTTCTGGGGATTCCCATTGAAGGGGCTTCAGCTGATTTTTATCACCCAGCACGTTGTGCCAAGCCCCAAGACATACTGTGAATGGACGAACTCCCGCACCACCTAAGAAGCCCTGGAATGATACGATTCCCCTGCAAGTACCAACAAACAACTGTTGCCCATGGTTTCATTGCGTGGTGCGAAATGGATTTCGCAACCATGCACAGTATGACTGTCACCTGTTGTTTCACACGTTGCCTGCCCCAACATATATGAAGCCTAACTCGGTTGCTTGTTAGGGGCCCATAAATTTAATATGTTCACCTTTTTGGGGCCACAAACAATTTGGGAACCATGCACAGTAGCATTGCCTTTTCTTTGGTGGATTTTGCTTGGATGTTAGGACTTTAACTTTTTGCCAACTATTGGGTTCTCGTATTAAACCACTAGAAGTTAAACTTTTGGCAGGGGAGCAGAAAGCAACCAAGATTTGTCAATGATCAAAAGCAGGGGCTGTTCGCACCTTGCTAAGCCGCCAGGTGCTTCCTTTCCCGTGTGCCAGGCTGGCTGACGCGGTTCGGCTGGTTCTTTTGTCGGATGAAAGAACTTGACATGACCCACCGGCTGACTCACCAGCTGATTTCAAGTGGATGGCTTTGAGTGGTAGGTCCAGTCACTGTCCCCAGCACTTGCCCAGAGTCAATCATGTGACCTCACTGACGCCTCGTCTTTTTTGGCGAAACATGGTGACAGCTGTTTGACGCGTGAGGCCATGTGGGGGCATTGTTTGAAGTAAGCATCGACAAATTGTCAGACCCGACAAGAGGTGTCATTTTGCAGGGTCCCTCAATTTCCTTTTTGTTGGACCTCCAAAAGTGGCAGTTTGGTTGGAACCCATTGGCAAGCTGCAACTTTTGAAGGGGAAATCCAGTCGGCCCCTTGCACCTTCCCTTTTGGATGCGCACCAAAAGGTAAAACCAAATTATTCGGGTGTGACGCCAAGAAGTCCATTTGTTCTAAGCCATGCAGTAGGCCTCTTTAGACTACCTTGGAAGACACAGTTTGGCCATGTTTTGTGGTATGGGTGCATCCTTTTTGTTGGGAACCAACTTTTGGCTGGTATCCTTTTTTGGGGAACTAACTTTTGGTTGGTTTTCAAATTGGAAGCAAAGGTGTTTCCCGTTGCCATTTTAGGGTCCCCTGTTTTTAAGAGACACGCCCGTATGCTTGCAACGTTCGGGATGGGCGCAAACGAGAGCGCTTGCTAGGGCGGCCTGGGCTTGTCCTACCAGGCGGGGAAGGGGAAGGTGTGAATTGAGCACCCGCATCATCTTGGGCCCCCAAAATATCGCTTTTTTGGGGTCCAATGATGCGGGCAGGGTCGCTGGGCCCTTGTAGTCCCTTCTTGAAATCGCGGCCTCTCCTGGCACTTTGAAGCGCGTTGAGCCGGCGCTTCAAGATCCCAAACGAGGCTTTCCCGTGCTGGCCCAAGATCCAGGGCTTAGGAAAATACTTTTGGGCTGGCGTACAGGAGATCACAAAGAACATATGGCTGTGGGTCAAAACCAATGGTACCATTTTGGGGTAGATGACTACCCATTTTAGTCTATTTTAGTGGGGATTGGGATGTTCAGTGTGGGTACGTGTTGTTTTTTTCATGGCCATATTCCATGCGATTTCAAGGGCGCATGGTTTACCAGTACAGGTGGCAAAGCCGGTTGGCGGAAGTTTAGACAATTTAAGAACCGCAGCTATCCATTTATCTTTGTTCTCTCTCTTGTCTTGTCTCGTTTTTGTTTTTGTGTCTCTGTTTTTGTTTGTCTTCGTCTTTTTCTCTTTCTCTTACTTGTCTCTTCTTTCTCTTTTGCCTAATCTAACCTGATATGTATCTATCTATCCGTGTATCTAATCTAATCTAACCTAATCCAATCTAGGTATCCATCTATCTATCTACCTATCTAACCAATCTCTCTATTCCTATTTGTGTATTTGTTTGTCTATCTATTCCTATCTATCTATTCCTATCTATATATCCCTATCTATCTATCTATCTATCTATTCCTATCTATCTCTTCCTATCAATTTCCTATCTATCTACCTGTCCATGTATCTATAACAGTGTATATTTATATCTATCTGCCGATCTATCTATATATCTATCTATCTATCTATCTGTCTGTCTGTCTGTCTGTCTGTCTGTCTGTCTATCCATCAGTCTGTCTATCTATCCTGTCAATCTATCCATCCATCCATCCATCCGCCTGTCCGTCTGTCCGTCTGTCCGTCCGTCCGCCCTTTTGTCTCTCTGTTTGTCTGCTGTCTGTCTGTCTGTCTGTCTGTCTGTCTGTCTGTCTGTCTGTCTGTCTGTCTGTCTGTCTGTCTGTCTGTCTGTCTGTCTGTCTGTCTGTCTGTCTGTCTGTCTGTCTGTCTGTCTGTCTGTGTCTGTGTCTGTGTCTGTGTCTGTGTCTGTGTCTGTCTGTCTGTGTCTGTCTCTGTGTCTGTCTCCGTGTCTGTCTGTCTCTGTGTCTGTCTCTCTGTCTGTCTGTCTGTCTGTCTGTCTGTCTGTCTGTCTGTCTGTCTGTCTGTCTATCTGCCTACCTACCTACCTGGAGCACGGGTCATAACGCGCCTTGGCGCGAACCCGTCCTCAGGGCTGCACATGACTGTGTTTTACCAGGATTCGTGGCGTTGGCTGGTTCATGGTGTGTGGGGAATTGCTTCGAAACTAATTCATCCGCAGCATTGTCTTCACATGATTCCGCTCAGCTTGTCGAGAAAGGCCGCAGGCATCAAGCCTCCTGCCTGCAGAACATGCTGTCTCCACATCCACATGCAAACATATTTAGATACCTCTGCATTGAAGGTTGTCTGGCCAGATTATGTGACTTTCGAAATCAGCGGAGCAATCTTCTAAGTCCGACCAAGAAGCCACCCCAGCGTGCTGCTGCGCGCGATGCTCCCCAAATGCAGCCTCCTCCTCGTTCCCAGCCTCTTCCAGCATGGCATCTACATCCAACGTCTGCAAAATTGACTTGTCAGCTTCTACTGAGTTAGCAGTCTGAGCAGCGTAGAACTTGTGCGGACTCTCATGGCCATCAATGGGGCTGAAGGCATCAGTGTCCTCCAACTCCCTCATGTCTGCGAGGCTTGCCATCACCGGAGTATGCGTGGCCGGCAACAGACGCTGGCGCGTCAGACGGCTGGACACAACCCAGGCAGCTGCAGCCAAAGCAAGTGATGCGTTCCCAGGGCAGAGCAAGTGTTGCCGCAGCACGAAATGCCAGTGCCGCGGAAGCAAAGGCCCGCAGGCGCCCAAGTCAATGAAGTTCAGTGGAAATCTGTAAAGAAAGGATAGGGCCCAGCGTCTGAGTGCAAGTATCCGGCAGAGAATCTAAGTATGGAAGCCAAACCACGAAAAACAGGCTGAGCGCCGGATGGTCACCGAAGGCTCCTGAATTTCCAGCCAAGAAAAATCAGCGAGAGCCAGGCATGAATCTGGAGACATCTGAACCGGCTGAATCAGCAAAACTAGAACCGACACACATGATGGCTGCTGCGACTCATGCGGCTGAATGACACACGGTGCAAGGTGACCCTGGGGCCACCTACTTACCTACCTATCTATCTATCTAGCTATCTATCTTTCTAACCAGCTATCTATCCGTCTAATCCTATCTATCTATCTGCCTAGCTACCTACCTGTCTACCTGCTACCTATCTAATTTAATCTGAACTTAATCTAGTCTAGTCTTTTCTCACCTATGTATGTATTTCAAATATATTCTCTGTTCCTGTCTGTCTATCTATCTATCTGCCTGCCTATCTACCTATTCTATCTTCTCATATCTATCATCTTCCTACCTGCCTACCTACCTGCCTACATGCCTACCTACCTACCTACCTACCTATCTTTTGATTTTCATCTACCTGTGTATATTTTCCAATCGGTCTATCTTATCTGAAATTTGGGGTGCCTTGGGCCAATCTCGGGACTGTAGTCTGCGCTTTTTCGCTCGGCGCGGTCGCGAGGCAGTGCTGGACGCACGGAGCGCGGTGGGCCGACGCCTGCACAGCCCCGCAGTGTCCGTGGAGGAGGCGGATGCGTTGCTTTGGCCGCGCTCGCTTTTTGCGCTGCTGAAACGCGTGTATTCCACTTGAGCCACAATCAAAATCCGGGTAGATGAAGGTTGGTAAGGGACAATCCCAACCATAAATAGCTGCAGCCGCCTTCTAAATTCCACATGGTTCTGGTTAGACCATTTACCGGGTTTTGATTGTGATCACTTAGGTTATGGCTGATCAAACCATGTGAACTTTTTTGTTAGACCTGGACCTGGCTTGGATTCAAACTACAGGGATGGATAGGTGTAGATAGAGACTCACTCCGCGAGTTCTGTTTCGGGTTTTGCATTTGGGTTTGGACCGTTTTCGTGGTAAACGCAAAGGCATGGATATTGTCTGGCCAATCTCCTGGGGAAGTGAAACTGAATAGATCATACTCAGGGTTGGACAGGGACTAAGTCCGCCGGCAAAGCCGTGGAATCTCTGACCGCTGCCATGGTTTAGCCATGGTTTTCTTGTGAGGGGTAAACCTTGAGACTCATCGAGGGGAATCGGTCGATTTTGTTTGAATGGCTTGAAGAAAACCCTGGGTTCAGACATCTAAATCCTATGGCATAGATCCAATATTTGTGGATTGCAGGACTAAGGCTGGGGGCAGTTGCAGCGAGCTCACAAAGGAAGGGTTGTGTTTGCGACCCGCATGCAGCTTGAACTTTGAACAGTTTTCAGTTCAACATGTTGTTGAATTAAACACTATGCCCCCCACCCCTGGAAGTTTAAGCTTGTGTAAACAAAGGTGCAACGACCCATTTCTGGTGCTGCGTATTTTTCTATGACAAGCTAGAGAGGCAGGGATTCCCTCTTGCTCCTCCGTGCTACAGAAACAGAGAGCGGGCTTAAGAAAAAGTTCAAGTATTTGTGTGGGTTCTTGGACTTTCCAAGAAGGATGGGTAAAACATGGAGGTCCCTGAAACGAGGCTTCGATAGGCATCAACTTGGTGGTTTGAAGAGGAGGTGGTGCTGCACTAAGGGAAGGTGAGGGCTTGACGCATGTCCACCGGTTGGTTTGTCCAGCCGTCGTAAGCTTTCAAACCAACCATGGCGTTGGTCCCAAAGTGAAGGATCACTGAAGCACATGGTACCTGCTACACATGGAAGAGTCCATTGAACCTAAAGACAGTTGACCCTCGAATGCTAGGCCTCACTTGGCCGCATGGGTTTCCCGTGAGGCCATCCTGCTGCAACGTCAGGAGCTGGATGGGAGAGCGGCAAAACGGGAGGGATCCCAAGGTTTGCCACTTTCTTCCATGCACTTCAGGCGGTTTTGAGTTTGGGGTCTCTATTTTTTGCGGGCTGTCCCTGCTTTTGGCGGAAAGCCAAATGGACAACCCAGCATTTTGGGAGCAGACACGCTGCTTGGATGTCTCAATTTTTTCCGGTCGGTTTTCCTGTCGGCTTCTGGCCATGCCGCAGCCCAAGACTGGAAAGGCCAGTCATCCTCCCTGCGTGTTTTCTATTGGGCTTTCGTGTGTCTTCTTTTGAAGGTATCTTTTTTGTTTTTTGTGGTTTTAAAGGGAAATCAAAAGGAACGCTTTGCCATGTCGATTCCTAGAAACAGGCAGTTGGGATTCTCGTTTCAGACGCAAGCAAGCGAGTCGTCAATATGTGCTGGGTAGTCTATTGTTAGTTTGGGAAGGACATAGGGGAACACATTTGTTTACCAAAACCTTGGCCTTGGGAGCGTTGGGGGGGAACCACCAACCTTTCCATGTCCGTTTGGGGAAACAAAGATTTGGTCCGTTGCTCACATGGTTTTGGGAAACTTGGGCGGAAGGTCTGGTTTAGGGATGGATGCCGTCATGCACTACCGTCTTCGTGCCTTTCAAGACCCCGGCCCAACAGCGGCTTTCTATTGTGCGCTTGTTTGCTTGGCTTTGTGTCCGTGTTAGTTTTTGTGTGCGCTGCTCGTGTTTTCCGTTTTTGTTTCCTTTTTTATGATTCGAGGTGTTCTCTCTCGGCCGGTCTGTTGATTCTTCTTATTGGTGCTCAGCAGGGAATGAGAAATGGAATGACCCTTGTAAACCATCCAACTGGTGGTTTCCTTTAAGGGGACCAAATTCCATTTTACATTCCCTGCCTGTCGCACCAGCAAGTTTTTGTCCTGCCATGCGGCTGTGGCTCAACCCAAAATGGCACCGTATGGAAACAAAGACCAACACCTGCTGTTTCATTTTGAGCCACACCCATTCCATTTCATATTCCCTACCTATCACACCAGCAAGAAAACCCCCACACCAGTGTTCCCCCACAAAAAGCAGACGTAGCAGACCTTCCCCCCCCCCCCCCCCGGCCCGTTTAGAAGCAAGAACCCCTTGTTTGTTGGTTTCCTGTCGGCTTGGCCCTCCCAAACCTCGGCGGAGCGGCACAAGCGACGCAGGTGGCCGACAAAGCGGCCAGGGGCCCGCTGGAGATGGGCCGTGCCTGGTGCGGCTGGGCCCAGGAGCGATCCTGGCGGGTTGATTCAGGGACGGCCGATGTCGGGGGGGGAGGTGGGTGTGGGGTTGGGTGGTAAGGGTCGCGGGGGATCCGGTTTGGGGGGGGGGAAGCGTTCTATAGCGGAGGTTTCTGGATCTTGGGGCTTGGAGAAGTCCCGCGTGCTATAGTTGCCCCGCACTATGACGGGTGTCTAGGGGTTCTTCAAAGCTAATTCGTTTTGGGCGCGGCTTGATGGTTTCAAGGGTTTGTCAAAGCCAGAAACAGTCTTTGTTCTTTAATCTACCAAACAAGTGACTTTAGGTCACGCTAAAATCATTGGGGCCAGTGCAAAACTTCTTTGGGGTTCCTGAAGGTTGGGCTCCTTCCTTGGATGTTCACGTCAGGTCAGTAGTTTAGTAGCTTCTCGCTCTGGCAAACTGGGGTTGGTTCCCTTCCCTGCCCAGCTCGCAAGCTACCAAGTGACTTGAACAACTTGTGATATTTGCCAAGGGCTATGAGGAGGGGCCTATGGAAAAGCTGAGGACAAGCACGCGGGCCTGCTTCCAAGTTCAATAAGGTGATCGCCCCCCCCCCCCCCGACCCCCCAGAAACAAAACAATGACATAACAACCTATGAGTTTCCTGTTTGGGTACCTTCCCCCAGGCGATTTGCAATGAAAGATTCCAGGCCACAGCAGATCCCATGCTAAACTCCCACTTCTCGGTTGGTCATTTGTCCGTGTCTGTTCGGGGAGTCTTCATCTAAAGGTAAGCCAAATGGCTGTGGGTCAAAACCAATGGTACCCATTTGGGGTAGGTGAATTCACCACCCATTTTAGAGCCTATTTTAGTGGTTGGATTGGGATGTTCACTGAGGGGTACGATTTGGGTTTTGACCCATGGCCAAATGGCTGTGGCTCGTGGAAACATGGGTACCAAACCTGCGGTTTGCCCCTCCGACCGTTTAATTTTGAGCCACACCGAAGCGGATGGGTAATTAAAAAAGAGCAGCGCCCTGGTGGCACCGGAACCCTCAGGTCCGCGGGAGTTCGAGCCAGAGGAAGTTCCAAATGCGAAGCCACCAGCCGGTCTTCCCCCAAAACCTTCGACCGCCCCAAGCGCTGCTTCAGGAGCTGCGGCATCGCAAGGGCCGCTGCTGGCGCTGGTCCCAGCAACAGGCGCGCTCTTGCGGAAGCCCGCGCGGAGAAGACGGATCGCGCCGGAGTCGTCGGCCGGGGAAACGTTTTATTCTAGGGGTATAACTTCCCCATTCGTTCCAGGGATCCTTTCTAGAAAACCTCCGGAAACCCAGGGAAATTAGCTGGTTTTTGAAAAGAACGATGGTTGAAACGAATGGGGGATCAACCCCTAGATTTACAGCATCCTATATGAGGGGCCGTCCTAAAACCCCAGCCTTCGGTTTTAGCTATAGGGGAACGGGGAGAAGTGAAAGTTGTCAAAAGCTGTGCCCTTTGCTACAACTAGAATCGCCATGGGTCGCATGGAAGGAAAAATGGAATGCTCTGGAGGTGCACGTCGGCATTACTTCTTTCTGGACATGGGGAAACATGCTGCGCAAGCGCCAGCGAAAGCTCTGCTTTGTGACATGCTGGAAAAAGGCGTTGAATGCCGGGGGCTTAGCCAAACAGCGCTCCTGCTGCGTAAGGCTTGCGTAAGCTCGCCTGAGGCAACACGAACTCTGGAGGCAAAGGTGTCGACCAAATCCAAAGCGCTGAGCAAGACGGCTATGAGGTGAAGACCCCGAAAGAACAAGAGCGCCAAGTTGATATAATATAAGAGTAATTCTTCATCAACTTCCTCCTCAGAGTCACGCACGTTATTTTGAACAATGGCGGCTCCATAGAGAAAGGAGCCCGCGCAAACAATTCTTGAGGGGAAAGGCTCAATACGCTGATGCGCAAGCACCGCATAAGCTTGACATCCTCGCTCGCTGCTGCGTAAGCTACAACATAGGTCGCGTAATCAAAGTGCTTGCTCGCGCGTAAGCAACCTTCTACGACACACAGACTCAGGACGCATTTATACACGTATATAGCTGCTGTGAACATTTTGTGGAGCTCTTATCGTAAGCAGTTCGTTCGTGTACGTTGTTCAGCTCTCTAGTGGCAACCTGTTTACCCTGTTTTGGGAGGGTTTCCCTTGAACGTCAACAAATGAAAGGAAGTCATATTCTGCATGTGGCAATAATGCGCAATGAAGTATACCGTATACTCTTCTTCAGTCCATGGCGTTGTTAGCCCCTCAAAGAAAGCCTTTCAGGGCTTCCCCCCGTTTCGACACTTTTTGCTTAATTTTTGCTTAATTTATTTGCAAGCATCCGCGTGCCTGAGTGTGTGCTGCCAAATGCCCTTTGCATGTCTCACCGATGGACTCCAGTCCCAGCCACCTGATAGGCTCCCCACGAAAAGCTGCCGAGCCACAAATCAACAGCATGGAAGGCCAAGGGACACCAAACCACAAGTAACGGCTCTCCGGCCTCTTGATGCTTGACATCCTTTAGACATGCTTTGAATGTTACCTGGAGGACCGTACTAGGGGTGGCAAGTTCTTTTTTTTGGGGGGCTCCTCTGATTGGTAGGGTATGGTAGGGTCCTGCAGACTCCGATCGCACCTTTTTTTTTTGATGCCTGAAGCGCAGGCCGAGAGCATCTTTGCAGAGGTCAAGCAGGACTTGGAGGCCGCTTGGAGTTTGAGGGGACCGCTTGATCCAGGACTAGGTTCATGATTTTGACTGGTTATCAGGGCTTGTTTCCCTTTGGCTTGCCACTGGGGTGACTTTGATGGTAAAGAACCATGAGTCCATATTATATGATGTTCTGGGGCTAGTTGGTTGAAGCAGACGGGGTTCCACTGCTTTCAGGCTGGTTCAAGTCATCGCAACTTTGGGGCAGGTATCCGAACTGCGGAAATCGAAGGGCGAGTTATTGCCCAAATTCCAAAATTATGGGGTGACTGTCTTGTTTTGGTGGGTAGTTTGAGGGTCCAGGTCATCTTTTTCTTGGGTCAGATGGATTTTTGGCGTCGGACCCGGCCGCGGTTCCGAATTCTGGGGGGCTCTTCGCATCGATCCGATGGGATCCGAATTGAAAGCTCCGCGAGGCCCGGGCGCTGACGGAGCGGCGTGGTAGCCGCGGCTCGGATGAGTTATATATATATATGTATACAACAACTCACCCCAATGCATAGAAACCACTGTGTTTTACAGTGTTTTCTTGCCTCCACACTCTGGGCGCGGATGAGGGGGGGTGACCACATATATGTATATACATATATATATATATATATATATGCCTTCCGCACTTGGCCCCAGTTTGGAATCGATCTCACTGGGTTTGATTGCTTTCTGGTTTTTCAGGGGGCTGCAGCAAGGAGTTTGATTGGAGGGAATCCTCTTGGTAGTTGTTAGCCATCCGGTTCCTTGAAGCTTCTTCCGTTGTTTTGAGTTGGGAGAAGTGACGTTGGCTTTGCAGTAACCCACGACTTAGTTAAACACTTTCAGGGGATCCGAGGAGAGCCCGGTTTTGGGGTTGGATGGAAAGAAAGCCAAAAGGGATCTGATCATGAAGGTCCCCTATTTGAGACAAGCCCTTTTCAGGTACTTGGACAAAATAAGTTCAACTGAATATGAGCTCGTGCATCATTCAAGTCCCCAACAAACTCTTGGTTTCGGGTTGGTAAACTAGATTTTTTCTCAGGGGTTCGTAGTTTTTGGGGCAGGGGGCTTCGCACTCGGGGTGTAAATCTGAGTGGTTGAAGCTTCCTTGGGCACAAGTGTTCATGTTTGGTTAGTTTGGATAGAAATAGATGGGTTCGACTTGGGTTTTTATTCCGCTTGCCATTGTTTGTTGATTTGTTTTGCAAAAGCGTGGCTCTGCCCTTGGGTTAGTTGGTTGCCTAAGCCGAGTGAGATTTATTGCTTGGTTGCTCCCAGAGCGGGATTTTGGACATATGGCAAATGCCGCCAACAAGGTCTTTGTCGGGGTCGTGCGAAATTGTGACATCGTGCCGAGTTCTTTGCAGCAACACGAAATCAACACTACTTGTTTGAACAAACACGTCCTCCAAAAGTGCTTTCGAGGATCTCAACAAGTTTTCACGCGCAGTCCAAACTTCTGGTAAACCAAAGACTGATGCCCGGTTTTTCCCAGGTTACCGCTGCCTGTGCCGCGAAGGGGCTACGAATGCAAAAAGGGGAACCATCCACAAAGTGGGTGCACCGGAATCCTGGTTCTCAGGGAAGTTGGAGTGACCCCAAGCAAAACCATTCTTTGTGGTTTCCTTGATTCGGGATTCCCAATACCCTGGGTCATTCCCTGAGCACCAGCAAGTCAGGTCCCGAGTTTGACAAGTCTCGTTCAGGATTGGAGACCTGCGCGCAGAGCGCAGAGGATGCATTGCAGCAGGTGCTCGCGGTGTCGGTGGGGGTCCTAGGGTCCAAGTCTCCCGCGGGTTCGGGCCTTAAGCCGTCAGTGAGGTTAGCAGCCGGGTTGGTCGCAAGATATGGGTATATGTCAAAATAGCGGAACCCCCCAAATGGTGGTTCGCCTTTTTGCACCCTTTAACACCATCCCCAAAAGGGGTTTAAAGTACCTTGGTTTGAACAATCCCCACCTAAGAAGTTTGCTTGGCTCAACGTGACTGCCACCAACAGTCAGTCAATCCGACTGCTTGCGGGGCAACAATCATGCTGCTGGCTGGTGCGACGGCAAAGAAACAGAGTCAAACCAAAGCGGAACCAAGGCAGCATTGACCCCCCAACCAATAGCAGCCTTAACCGTTATCGAAATCACGCTTCCTGTTTCGATGAGCTTCCATTCATGCGCGGCACTCAGCTTCTTCTAGGGACACATGATGACATCATTTGTGGCCTAAGATCCAACTACATGGGCTGATGCCAACGGAAAGTCCGTGTGGGTCAAAGATTGCCACAGCACAAAAGTCCAAGCGCTCAATCGCCCTTGGCTCCACGTGAGGCTGCGCGCTTTTTTTTTTCTGCGCGAGACGCGCGGGCTCTCTCGAGGCGCAATTACGTGCTCCTGCCTTTTTCAAACAAACAGCCAAGCCGCCGCATCTTTGAGTACCGGCGATATGCTGCAGCCATGCGGCCCAACAAGACAATCCGAAAGCTCCCGAGAAGGTGGTGTAGCTTGTCATCAAGTTTGCCTGAAGCTTATCTGGTTCTAACAAATGTCACATCAGCAGCATCGTCATCTTACTCGTCATGTCAGGCTTCGGACTGTTGCAGCTGTCCGTCACAAGTTCTGTCATGGCTGCCTGTGGCATCTGTCTGTCATACCGATCTGTCTCTGTTTGTCACAAGCTCTGTCGCAGCTGTTTGTCACAAGCTCTGTCGCACCTGTCTGAATCGCTTTGGCCCCTTAGCGTTAGGAAAGGCGGACAACGCTGCAGGATTCGCTTGCTCCACCAAGTTGCAAATTTGAGAGAGGCCTGCAGCCGGACATTTCTAGAGAAAGGTATCCGCGGGGTTGTCAAAAGTAGCCCCTTTTTGATCCCTGATTCCGCCTTGTTTGTGCCAACCTTTGATCGGGTACCCTTTCACGTAGGTTTAAAGGGAAGCCAGAAGGAAAACCAACCACGAGCTGGACTGCCTTCCGGTAAGTCGGAGCCAACCCCGAACCATTTTTTTGGCAAGCAGCGGCGTGCGAGTTCTTACATGTTAGTTGCCCAAAGCCCGTGTAGATTCTGTGGAGTGGTTTTAAAGGGAAACCAAGAGGAACACAACCATTGTTTGGGTCCGGCCCTTTGGCAACGGAATGTTCGGCACAGCTTCCAGTTGAACTACATGGATTTGTTACATATCAGGTTACCTTTAATTGGTGGTTTGGATTGGTGGTTGGGATTTGAACCCCTGCTTCTTGTAGAGGGTAGATGGGAAACCACTCGCCAACCTTAATCCAAACCGCCACTCCAAACCAATTAGTGGGAACCTGAACATACCCAAAGAGGCTGCGCTCAGATCCGCAGTCGTTGCTGTCCGCTAAGGACGCCGTCAGCATTGCCCAGCGCCGCTGGTTGTCGTTGAGTGTCGGCCTTGGTGCCCATGCGATTTGTGATAATATGCACGTGGGTGTGTGGGCGTGTCTGAAAGTTAAGGACGGTTTTCGAGTGGGCCGTGCAATGCTAAGCATCACCTTATGGCTTCTACTCTTAGAGGAGCTTAGTGTTGGTGGACTAATGCTTGAAAAGGGATATGCAAGGAGCTTTGACGTGAATGTTTGTTGTACTTCAACCACCATCCAAAACGCAATCCCGATGTTTAATGCAGATCTCCTCTATGCGCCGCAACACATTGGAGGGTGTTTTTTTTTTTTTTTATCGTGATCGATATGAAAACTGACCCTTGGGATGGGTCAGTTTTCCTTTCTTATGCCCATGTGATTCATCCATGTGCAGTGCAGTTAGGCCCGAGGCACATGCCATGAGATGGGTCAGTTGTCGTTGCCTTTTCTGCCCCGGGGATTGTGATTCGTTGATTCGGTAAGCTTCCTTCGGCCATGAAATGTAATGCTTGGAGCCTCAACGGCCGGTTGTTACACAAGTCCAATCATGTATTTCTAAGAGCTCATACCCAGATGGCTGCGTCGTTTCTTTCAGGGTACCCTTTGTGTGTGATTTAAAGGGACGCCACGGTTTATATTTGTTTTTGCTTTGGGGGGGGTCCGAAACAACAGACAGATGTCCTTTCTTTTGGACGGATCCACCATTGCAGTGATTCATGCTTTCATTTCAAGTTGGATGTCCAACTTGAGATGGTGCAATGTTTGGCGGGGCCATAATGAAGCTCAAACTCTTCCTTACCGGGATCCCCCCCTCCCATTTGTTTGAAAACCAGTGACACACCGGTTCTTACAAACGGGTTCCAGCTTCCACCTTAAAGGCTTTACTACGTCCACGGGACCCCACTGTGGAGGTGAGCCAGCGGCGGAGCGTCTCTTGCAGCAGAAGGCGCCTCGATTTTTTTTTCCCGGGGGGTGTCAGAGGGTTTGGAGGCGCGTTTTGGAGACCTAACGACGTCATCTTACACATGTGTGTCTGAAATTGGATATGGATGATGCCAAAGGCGGCAAATAATGCTGGTTTTGTGCGTCTGAAAATTGGAGATGAATCGCAGAGGACAGAGACACCTATGCCAATTAAGACTCGCTTAAGTTGGGCCAGCATCTTGGGGCCGTTGGTTTTGAGCCGTGCATATAGATGCTAGATGATAAGACTGCACACGCGCAACAGTATCTTACGATGACGAAGCTTGGCTTTGAAGTCTCCCAGAATCCGATCTGGAAAAACCCGGTTCTTCTGGAACACCAACCAACAAAATCCAGGTTTTTCGGGCACCAGGAAATTCCTGGGTGGTCTGCCAGGCTTTGGCCTGCCGCTAGCCTGGCTTGAGGCTTGAGGCCTCAGCTGGCCGACCCAGCGCCGGTCTGCCAGGTTTGAAGGGCGGCGCAGGGCGAAGTTTGATTGGAGGAAGGCTCTGCTCAAAAACTTAGCTCTTAAAAACACGAAACTGTTCGAAACTTCTTGGGGTAACATGGGCTATAGGTCTGTAAAAGATGAGAACTTCCCCAGGGCTTGGAGTTTTAAGGGGTAAGAAAAGCACAACTTCGTGCTCTGGGCCGCACTTCCGCCGCGCCATGTTCGGTGTGTGTTCAAAGCTGAGACGCTTCGTTGGGGAGAAGGCGGATTTCCCTTCACGCAACGAGCGCGTTGCGCCCTCCGGCCCCGAATTGCTTCGTGCGGCGAAGTGCTTCGCCGCAAGCTGGCCGAAGATATGCTCACCGCTCGGATGCCGCCTTGGGGAGAGAGAAGCGTTGACGTGGGAATCTCACAAAATGGTGGACCCCTTTGGTTGACATTCCAAGGAAAGCTGGGAGACAACAAACCATTTTAGTATGTAGGGGACACCTATTTGAGCAGCACTCAGATTGGTCGGACTTTTTCGTCGGATGAAAGCAGATCCATGCCCTACCTCCCAAGGTATCCTCCTCAAGGTATCGGGTGCCAAAGTGTCAAGGTTCCATATGTGGATCCAGAAAACCCCTGAAGACAGATGAAGACAGATTTCTACCTGCCTTTTTCTCCTTTCGGGATTTCGATTTCTATTTGAGCAAGCATTTGAGCACGTTGCTTTGATACTAGGGGCTATAGAAGTGGAACAACCGACCTCGTACTTATAACCTGAAGTCGAAGTTAAGATCCCCCAAAAAGGTATCCGTCGCAGCATTCATGTTGCCGCGTGTCCGATGCTGGCTAGCGCAGAAGCGCTTGCGCAGCTGAAAGCTGAACGGCCTGCTGGGTCCAGCGCTTGCGCAGCTTCTTTCGCTGAGCACGTGCGCCTTCGCCGAGAAAATGAACCTCAGTCAGGGCTTGGAGTTTGGGCGAAGGGCTAATGTCCGCCTCTGATTAATAAATAGGCCCCCGCCCCCTTGAATGCCCCTAAATAAAGTTAAGGGGGAAAAAATCAGGGTCGGGACAACTTTAGAATGTGGTTAGTATTGGGCTCTGTTTTTTGGGTTTTCGAATACTACTTTAGAATTGGGCCAATTCTAAAGTAGTATTGGGCATGTTGTTTTTTTCTTATTTGCTTTGGGGGGAATACTAGTTTACAATTGGGCCAATTCTAAAGTAGTATTGGGCCAAGAACTTTTGCATGAGTGGGAATCAGCTTAGCTTTATTTAGGGTCAGGAATTATTTAGTGCATGAGGCTTCATGGGGGGTAGCCTTGCTGGCAGGGTCGAGTTGTGTTTTTGAAGGTTTCCAGATAAAGAATTTGATGAAGGGAATCACTCAATATTTTTGGGATCTGATGGAAGAGTCATTTTTGATGAGCCAGCTTGAATGGAAAGCTTGCCCCTGACAAAAAAGAGGATCAGAACATTTTTTGTGGGGAAAAAGTCTAGCTTTGCTTAGGGGTAGTTTACTAATCGTAGGTGGACATTATGAGCTCATGGCAAGCAGTTGGCTTGAGATATCCCTGCTTGCACCGGCATGGGTGGGCTTGGTGGCCTCGTGTGCATTTTTTCTGTGTTGGAAGGAAATTCTTTAGGCTGCGGAACAACCCAAACCCTCAAGCTGGCAGAACGCCACACAGCTGACAAGACGGTCGGGGGTCGACATGGGCATTAGTGAGGCTCATGCATCCGCCTGGGCACCCATCCAATTTGCCAATTCGGACTCAAGGCCTGGCGGCCTCACGGTGGGGGGGACCCGAAAAGGGTCGGGAGCGAGCCGTTTAAAGCTTTTCACAGCGGCGCAGAAGGCGGGAGCTGCAAGGGATCTGAGGTTTTGCTTACATACTCGCAAGCCCAAAGCGAATCGACCGGATCAATCGACCTTTTGGCTTTTCCCCGTGTTGGGTTCCCATTGTTATGGCCCCAAAGGCTCACCTTTTATTTCTAATTCCTTTGGGCAACTGAACATACCAATGGAACCCCGCGAAACTCGTTGCTTATAGATCGGTTTTGCCAAAACATTTGGTCTATCTCTCTCCCATAACCAGGCCTGGCTAGGCTAGGTCCCCCAGTAGTGCCCTTCTCCCCTTTGTTGGGGGAGGGTTCCCCTACTAAAGACTACAGAAAAAGGTTGAAGAACCCTTCTTCCAGGTCGTCCATGCGAGTTCGAGCCATGTGCTTGGAGAGTACTGTGGATGGACGACATCCGCTTCTCGCATCACCGTTCAGAAGCCCTGGGCTGGTTTGATTCCCTAGCTGGTAAATACCCAGAAGCAGCGGTTTCAACCACGGCTTCTTAGGTGGTGCGACTTCTGGATTTCGCAGCCATCCACAGTAGGATGGCATCCGTTGCACGGGGCTACCCTCCCGCCCTTTTCACGTGGAACCGTTCGACGTTCGGGGGGAGTTTTGGTTTAGACCATGTTCCTTTTAAAGGGACGCCCAAACGTCAGGTTCCACGTTAGTTGGTGGGAGGGTACCCTCAATCCAATGGAAGCTGATGATCGGAGGGTTTTGGAAGACTACTGCCCAAGTTCCTTGGGCCAATTCCATGATTGTTGGAGAGAAGGTACATGTTGGGCTCCGTCCAAGTCTTACATATTCCTTTGAGATGCGTCGAGATGTGGAAGTGGAGTCGAACATGTATTATTTGCGGAGCTTCGGGCTCTATTTGCACCCTCCAATTCGAGCAATGTCCACACGCACAAGCATCTTCGGAACATGTCCAAGTGCTGATGAAATCACATCATGGGACTCTGGACTTGCACTTGTTTTGCGTGGCTAGGAGATATCCCAAATGGACAGCAGCAGTCCTCACTTTAATTTGCGAGTATTTTTGGAGGGTACCCTTTTCGGATGGCTTCAAAGGGAAGCAACAAGGAACCCACCCATTTTCTGGGGGGGGAAGGGTTCCTATTTTGAGACAGACCCGAAGCAACGGAGTCTCGAAGTTGTTTCGGGCGTCAGGACAATGAGCGCCGGAGACGAGTTCAGCCATGGCGAGCCGAGGCGAATTTTGCTCGGTGCTTTGTGCTTTGTGCTTTGCGCGTGCGCGGATCGGGACGGGGTTTCAGTTTATACAAATATATAAATTACAGTCGGTTTTTAAAGGGCTACCACTACTGGAAATATGCTGATTTTTTCAGGGGACATATTTGCAAATGGAGGTTTCTCCTTAATTGCGGGTCTTCCAGTGCTATATGTTTTGTTGGTTCTCTTCTATACTGGGCAAGTGCATTTTCTTATTTTGAAATTGACCGTGTGTCCCCGTCTTGGCTGGTTGTTCAAGGGAAGCTAGCATAGGCACGTCACTCTTGCAAGATGTCCCTATCAAGGGCGCACCCAATGCTATTGGCCCCAGAATCGACTTTTTGTGCTGTGCCGTGTTCGGGATCGCATTTGTCCCTGAGAAACATGACAATTCGGTGTGTTCGACGTGCCCCTTGAAGTTTCCATTGGGTCTCCTTCCATGGGCTCCAACATTGTGACCATGAACCACGTTTTCACACAACATCTTGTTCTGCGCAGTTCGAATTCCTGGTGCTCAGCAGCAAATGAGGGAATGACGTTCATAAACCATCCCCTGTGGCTTCCTTTAAGAGAATCCCTGGGTTCATTCCCACATCCCCTACTGAGCACCAGCAAAATTCGTCCTTGGGAAACCCCGCCACGGAAAATTTGGGGCGGACCTGCGCCAGCGAATTCGGTCAAGGAGTGAGGGTGACCTGCCGGCTCCGTTCCGGCGGCGGTCTCGGTTTTCCAACCCAGCGGGCCCTTTAAAGGGCGAAACCAGGGTTTCGAACTTGGGGCATGTTGGCGGGATATTCCACGGGGTTTGTTGTGCGTTCCAACTTCCCCAGAATTAGCTCCCCTTTTTGTTTTTTGTTGTTTTTTGGGGTCCCTTTGTGTTCCACTAACCAGGCAAGAAAGATGTTTTCTTGCTGGGGTCCTGATTCCAGCCCAGCCAAAAGGTTTGGATTCAAGTCGCCAGGAGCTTCGCCCTGCAACTTTCCTGGTTTACTTCTACGTGGGCTGGCTTCGATGTGAAAAAAACCAAAATGGGTGGTTCCGTTTTTGGCTTCGGCGTGAAACCATAAATGAAAGGGGGTTCGTCCGTAAACGACGAACCAAGCACTGGCAACTCAGATTTAGCACCCCTCCCCTTCACTCCTGCATGAAGCTTGGGGCCGGATGGACACCAGTACCTTTCATGTAGGCATGTGCAGTGTAGTCGAAAATATAGAGCCCCCCGACTCGGTTTAGGGACAGCTGTCATACACGATTTTCCTTGGCATCCCTAGTTAGCCCTAGTTTTCAAAGGGAACCGTTTTTCTCATGCCCCTTAGTTAATTACCCCCTCCCCTTCTGTCTCTTGGCTTCTGCAAAGACCAGAATTGGGGGCCAAGAATCGGGACGAGAGTTCCGGGGCCGCAAGGCCGCTGGTTGAAGCGCTTCAGCGCCGTTTTGTTCAAGCGGTTTTCCTTGATGAAAGAGATACCTGAGCAAGCTCAGTTCGTGGCTTTCCAGTTGGCTTCCCTTAAAATCCCTCAAAAAAAAAGACACCCCCTTCTGGTGTGCTGTTATTCTCCAACGGGGACTCTGCTCCCCCAACCCAGGCCGCAGCCAGTGCCAGTTGTGCCTCAGCCGGCACCGGCGATGCGGCCAGGCGCGCGAAACCGCGTTGCGGGGCGGCCGTGTGGCGTGGTGGCAGCCCAAAGTCTTCCCTTTGATGAAATGGCTGTGGGTCAAAAATCAGTGCCCAAAATGGAACCCTGGTAAATGGAAAAGTAGACTAAAACCAGCGGTCCCCTGGTGGTTTAATTTTGACCCATGCCCAAATGAATATTGTTTATTTTAACGCCTCCGGCTCAGGCCGCCGACATTACAGGCCTGTTTTCTTATTTGCGTCCCTTTGGAATTGTCCCCTTGCCCCCCTTCCCCTCAAAGATTTTTGCCCCCCTTTCCCTGTTGAGATCCATTCCCCCTTTCCCCCCTAAGGCCCTTTCTCCTTCTGATATTTTTTCCCTTTTCCTCCCTAAGATGTTTTCCGCCCTCTCCCTGTTGAGATCCTTTCCCCCCTTTCCCCCCTAAGGCCTTTGTCCCCCCTGAGGTCATCTCCCTTTCCCTCCCTTTCCCCCACTTTCCCCCCTAAGGCCTTTTCCCCCCCTGAGATCTTTTCCCTTTCCTCCCTGAGATCTTTCCCCCCTTCCCTGTTGAGATCCTTTCCCCCCTTTCCCCCCTAAGGCCTTTCCCCCCGCTGAGATCTTCTCCCTATTCCTCCCTAAGATCCTGTGCCCCCTTTCCCTGTTGAGATCCTTTCCCCCCCTACCCCGAAGGCCTTTCCAGATCTTCTCCCTTTTCCTTCCTAAGATTGTTTCCCCCCTTTCCCTGTTGAGATCCTTCCCACCCTTTCCCCCTAAGGCCTTTCCCTTGCTGAGACCTTCTCCCTGTTCCTTCCTAAGATCTGTCCCCCCTTTCCCTGTTGGCCTTTTTTCCCCCAGATCTTCTCCCTTTCCTCCCTAAGATCTCTTCCACCCCTTTCCCTGTTTCCCCGCGAAGGCCTTTGCCCCCAGATCTTCTCCCTTTCCTCCCTAAGATCTTTCCCCCCCTTTCCCTGCTGAGATCCTTTCCCCCCTTTCCCCCCTAAAGCCTTTCCCCCCCTGAGATCTTCTCCCTGTTCCTCCCTAAGATCTTTTGCCACCTTTCCCGGTTGAGATCCATTCCCCCTTTCCCCCCTAAGGCCCTTTCTCCCTCTTTCCCCCCTTTCCCCCCTAAGACCTTTTCGCCCCTGAGATCATCTCCCTTGTCCTCCCTTTCCCCCCCTTTCCCCCCTAAGGCCTTTCCCCCCCCCCCCCCCAAGATCTTTTCCCTTTCCTCCCTGAGATCTTTCCCCCCCTTCCCCCGTTGAGAAGGCCTTTCCCCCCGCTGAGATCTTCTCCCTATTCCTCCCTAAGATCCTTTGCCCCCCTTCCCTGTTGAGATCCTTTCTCCCCTACCCCGAAGGCCTTTCCAGATCTTCTCCCTTTTCCTTCCTACGATTGTTTCCCCCCTTTCCCTGTTGAGATCTTTCCCCCCTAAGGCCTTTCCCCCCCTGAGAGCTTCTCCCTTTTCCTTCTTAAGATCTTTCCCCCCCTTTCCTGTTGGCGCTTTTTCCCCCAGACCTTCTCCCTTTCCTCCCTAAGATCTCTTCCACCCCTTTCCCTGTAGAGATCATTTCTCCCCTTTCCCCGCGAAGGCCTTTGCCCCCAGGTCTTCTCCTTTCCCTCCCTAAGATCTTGCCCCCCCTTTCCCTGCTGAGATCCTTTCCCCCCTTTTCCCCCTAAAGGCCTTTCCCCCCTGAGATCTTCTCCCTTTTCCTCCCTAAGATCTTTGGCCACCTTTCCCTGTTGAGATCCTTTCCCCCCTTTCCCCCCTAAGGCCTTTTTTTTCCCCCGCGATCTTCCTATTCCTCCCCAAGATCCTTTGCCCCCTTTCCTTGTTGAGATCATTTCCCCCCCTTTCCCCCCTAAGGCCTTTTCCCCCCCAAGATCTTCTCCCTTTTCCTCCCTAACATGTTTTCCCCCCTTTCCCTGTTGAGATCCTTTCCCCCCTGTCCCCCTAAGGCCTTTCCCCCCCTGAGATCTTCTCCCTTTCCTCCCCAAGATCTTTTCCCTCGGTTGAGATCCTTTCCCCCTTTCCCCCCGAGATCTTCTCCCTTTTCCTCCCTAGGATCTTTTCTCCGTGTCCCTGTTGAGATCCTTTCTCCCCCTTTCCCCCCTAAGGCCTTTTCAGATCTTCTCCCTTTTCCTCCCTAAGATCCTTTGCCCCCTTTCCCTGTTGAGATCCTTTCCCCTTTTCCCCCCTAAGGCCTTTCCCCCCCTGAGATCTTAAGGCCTTTTCCCCCCCTGAGATCTTCTCGCTTTTCGATCCTTTCCCCCTTTCCCCCCTAAGGCCTTTTCCCCCCCTGGAGCATCTCCCTTTTCCTCCCTAAGATGTTTTCCCCCCTTTCCCTGTTGAGATCCCTTCCCCCCTTTCCCCCCTGAGGCCTTTTTCCCCCTGAGATCTTCTCCCTTTTCCTCCCTAAGATCTTTTTCCACCTTTCTTTATTGAGATCCTTTCCCCCCCCCCCTTTCCCCCCTAAGGCCTTTTTTCCCCTGCGGTCTTCCCCCTTTTCCTTCCTAAGATCTTTTCCCCCCTTTCCTTGTTGAGATCCTTTCCCCCCCTTTCCCCCCTAAGGCCTTTTCCCCCAAGATCTTCTCCCTTTTCCTCCCTAAGATGTTTTCCCCCCTTTCCCTGTTGAGATCCTTTCCCCCCTTTCCCCCCTAAGGCCTTTCCCCCCCTGAGATGTTCTCCCTTTTCCTCCCTAAGATCTTTGGCCACCTTTCCCTGTTGAGATTCCATTTCCCCCCCTGAAATCTTCTCCCTTGACCTCCCTAAGATCCTTCCCCTCTTTTCCGGTTGAGATCCTTTCCCTCTAAGGCCTCTTCCCCCCAGATCTTCTTTCTTTCCTCCCTAAGATCTTTCCCACCCTTTCCCTGTTGAGACCCTTTCCTCCCTAAGGCCTTTCCCCCCCTGAGATCTTTCTCCCTTTTCCTCCCTAAGATCTTTTCCCTCCTTTCCCTGTTGAGTTCCCCCCCCTGAGATCTTCTCCCTTTTCCCCCCTAAGATCTTTTGCCACCTTTCCCTGTTGAGATCCTTTCCCCCCCCCCCCCCCTTCCCCCCTAAGGCCTTTTTTCCCCTGCGATCTTCCCCCTTTTCCTTCCTAAGGTCTTTTCCCCCCTTTCCTTGTTGAGATCCTTTCCCCCCCTTTCCCCCCTAGGGCCTTTTCCCCCAAGATCTTCTCCCTTTTCCCTTTCCCTGTTGAGATCCTTTCCCCCCTTTCCCCCCTTTCCCCCCTAAGGCCTTTCCCCCCCTGAGATCTTAAGGCCTTTTCCCCTGAGATCTTCTCGCTTTTCCTCCCTAAGATCTTCTCCCACCTTTCCCTGTTGAGATCCCCTTTCCCCCCCTGAGATCTTCTCCCTTGACCTCCCTAAGATCCTTCCCCTCTTTTCCGGTTGGGATCCTTTCCCTCTAAGGCCTTTTCCCCCCAGATCTTCTCCCTTTCCTCCCTAAGATCTTTCCCACCCTTTCCCTGTTGAGACCCTTTCCTCCCTAAGGCCTTTTCCCCCTGAGATCTTTCTCCCTTTTCCTCCCTAAGATCCTTCCCCTCTTTTCCGGGTGAGATCCTTTCCCCCCTTTCCCCCCTAAGTCCTTTTCTCCCAGATCTCTCCCTTTCCTCCCTAAGATCTTCCCCCCCTTTCCTTCCTAAGATCTTTCCCACCCTTTCCCTGTTGAGATCCGTTCCCCCCTTTCCCTCCTAAGGCCTTTCCCCTTCTGGGAGCTTCTCCCTTTTCCTTTCTAAGATCTTTTCCCGCCTTTTATTGTTGGCCTTGTTTTCTGATTTTGTCCCTTTCCTCCCTAAGATCTTTCCCCCCTTCCCTGTTGAGATCCTTTCCCCCCTTTCCCTCCTTCATTGGGCAACATCCCCAGCATCACTTGCATCATCCGCATCCTTGGCAGGCGCTGATGCGGATGATGCAGGTGATGCTGGCGATGTGCCGCTGGAGCTGCTAAGGATGCGAAAGCGGACCCGGCGGGAATCGAACACCCCAATGTTTTTGACAAACTGAGTTGCGCAAGCCCGCAATGAGACATGTGTGGAATGTACTACTACTGGACATTGTTTCTCATTTTTTGTCCGGGGGACGTATTCGCAAATGGAAGAAAAGCCAGGGATGTTTGTGCAAAGCCTGCGGGATTAGAGTCGGGCCAAAGTTTGCGTTGTCAAAATATTGCCAAACGAACTTGACCCCTTTGCCCGTTTGGGGTTTCCTTTATCAATTTCCGCGAAAAACAAATCAAACTGAAACCCTTTTGCGGCGGGTCTACGTTTAGCCAAGAAAGGACCTGTCTACTTTACATAGAACTCGGGTACTGAGTGCGTTCGTTTCATGAGGGTTCCTGCCAAAGCACCCCCTTATTGACTTATACAAGAAGTAAGGATTTGGCGTGACATGCTGATCCAGCTATCAGCATGAGAGCGCTGGGTTCGTCTCCCTATGGATACGTATACATTCTCAAAGGGGGTCACACAGGCGTGAATGGATTATTCTCCGAAGGTTGACATTTACGGCTGGCTTCCATGGAAGCGCTCGCCACTTTTGGAGGTTCCAAAAAGGAAAAAAGTGGGACACCGAGTGTCAGAAGGCGTTCGTGTCGGATCATCCGGATCCATTCGCCAGGTCCCGGCTTTCCTTTCGCCTATTGGCGCTTTGGCAGCCAAGAGCGCCCCAAGCAGGCCGCTGCATCTGATGCACAGGAGGTCTTTGCATATGTTCCCCCGTAATGTTAACCCCTGATTAATAAACCCCGGGTTGATTAATAGGGGTGTCCCCTTTTCAGTGGGGATTCATCACTTTTGGAGGGAACACCCCCTAATAATGGGACGGGTTTATTAATCCTGGGTCAACATTAATTAGGGTGTTTCTTTTTCTTGAGGGTTCCCCTTTGTTGGGGGGGGGGGAGCTCAAAGGGACGCCAAGGGGAAAACCACCATTTTTCCGGGAGTCCCCGAACAAACTCTCACCCGTTTGGTCCCCTTTCCATTGCTGAGTTTAAGGGAAAGTGAAGGACGCCGACCATTTCGGGACTAAGCTGCACCCCCCGAAAGTTACTGTTGTCCTTTTAGTCTCCCTTTAAACCCGCAAAAGGGGCTCTGAGACACCAACGTAGTTGTGAGGAGGGGGAAGGTGGTCAGGTGTTTTTTTCACCTGAAAGTGGGATGGTACGACCAAATTGCACCTGTTTGTGCATGGCGTACGGAGATTTCACATGTTCTCTGCCAACAGTTGAGACCGAGTTTCATTTTAAGATGGACAGAGGCCACAAGACCAGTGGTTGCTGCAGTGATGCTCAACTGACCCCTTCATTGCCGGCCTGAAAAGCGGCAGTTATATCAATAATGTAATGTAGACCCCACCAGCCAACAAATCAACTTGTTGAATTGATAAGATCCTGTCACTCTTTGGGCAAGTCTTTCTTTAGCATAACAAACACGGAATGACCATCAAACTATAAGTGTACTAGTATACAATCAGCCCATTTAACTTGGGTGAATGTCAAAGTGTCCTGCCAAAATCAAGAAGCATGCCCTACTGTGCCTGTTTCATTTTTCCTGATGATAGAGAGCAACCCTAGGAGGGTTGCTGGGGGGCACCCCATATGCCCCATATGAACAGCGCGGCCTATGAAAAGGTGCTGAGTGAAGCCTTCGGGTCACCGGTCTGATTCGCGCAGGAGCGCGACTCCCTACGCAGTCGCTCGAAGGAAGGCCAGGAAGGGATGGCGTCCGATAGCAGTTGAGCCTTAAAAAAAATCGGAAGGATGTGTGCATCTAGGTCCCCCAGTGCCCTTTTACCATTTTTTTGGGAGGGTTCCCCTAAGGGTACCTCTCTACTGGAGGACCTAAGCACAGTTCCATTTGCTCAAGAATACGTTTTCTCCCTTGGTTTCAAAGGGAAGCTGCCACTGGACATATATTTCCTTTTTCCATTTGCACGTATCCGCAAATGGAAGGATCGTTTCGGATCTACTATGGTCACAGAGTCACAGAACTGCAGTTGACAGCAGAACCAGAACGTGGCTTCGGCCAAATGGGCATTCCTGGCTTCGGCATGGTGCCGCTGCAAACTTGAATCAAAGGCTGGTTGTATGCACAAGTTATATGAAGCATGCACCCATGGCTATTTGGAGCCCCTGGCTCATTTGTGCATGTTTTAACAATATGTAATATTCAATATGTACAGTTATGTACAGTATATATATATATAACCGTTGAACAAGCATTGTATTCTTGCCGTTCTCACGGCCACCTAGTCGACCCCTTGCCCTGGTTTCCTCCCAAGGCCTGAAAATCGGTCTTTGAGGAAGAGGGGAAGGAGCTTATACCAGTTTTTTTTCCCCAACAGCTGAAAGCTTTGGGGTCTCAGCCCAGATAGGCTCCGGGGTGGTCCGGGGCGGCCCTGAGGCAAGGTTCCACGAGGGTTCCACCAGGGTTCCACCAGGGTTCCACGAGGTTCTGCGAAGGCTGCGGGGTGGTGCGAGCACTAAAAAGAGCACGGCAGAATATCACCTGAGCTTCTTTTTTTTGGGGGGGGGAGGGGAAAAAAAGGGAAAGCAACCAGAAATCACATCATGGGCCCCCACAGGTTTCGTTCAACTTCTTTTCCAAAACCGATCGACATTTCCCCTGGGTTTCCGGAGGTTTTCCAGAAAGAGAGATGCCTGGAAAGAATGGGGAAGGTAGCCCTAGTCAGTAGCAATTAGCTTGCACATGGGTTGCCCTTTTCGGTGGATTTCCCACCCCTGCTTGAGACCTTCTGATTTATCTGCGATTTCTGAACAAATTTGGGTTGGGTGTGCTAACGGATTCTTATTCGCTACAGGTCTAGGAAACGATTTGGATGCGTTTTTGTGGGTCCACCCCTGTAGGATGGCAAAAGAGTACTAAAAGAGTCTCAAAGGATTCGGAACAACTGGCAAAGCAATAAGCAACTTGGGGCAACCACCGAAAGCGCATCCAATCCTGGGAGGGGTCTAAACGGCGTAGAGACATGAGACATTCGCCAGGTCGGCCCGGCAGCCGCAAGCACCGCCGCTACGTGCACTCGGTGGACCTGGCGAGGGCCCTGGTTTTTAGGGGAAAGCGCGAAAAGGTGAGAAGGGATTGACTCGCTGGTACGATGAGTGGCTGTGGGTCAAAACCAATGGTACCATTATTTTGAGGTAGGTGCACCACCCATTTTAGTCTATTTTAGTGGTTGGATTGGGATGTTCACTGGGGGTACGGGCTTTTGACCCATGGCCAAGTAAGGAATGTGGGAATGAACCCCAGGGATTCCCTTGAAGGAATCCACCAGTTGGCTGGTTTATAGGGGTCATTCCTTTCTCATTCCCTGCTGAGCATCAGCAAGTTGAGGACGCCCGCAGGCAAACATGGGTCTGATTTTTGTTGGGGGACTCCGAGATGGGTTGTTCTTTTGGTGTCTCTTCAAAACCACCAAGAGCGGGTGCACCCTCAAAGAAGACGCATTGACATGGGGGTTGTCTTCTTTTGAGGGTACTCTTCTAGCGGTTGGTTTAGAGTAACCAACAGGGCCACCTTGGTTTATGACCAGCCCCTGGTGCGCAAGTCAGTTCCACGGGGGTAAGAGCATCTTTTTGGGCTTTCAAAAGACAACTTGAAAGAAAATATGTTTTTTTTTTGGGGGGGGGGAGTTTGCGGGGTTTTCATAGGTGTCCTTTCTATTTTAGTATGGTTACAAATAGATGGGTTCCACTGATTTTGATGGGGGTTGTTCCATTCTATTGTACCAAAATTGACACACATGCCATGAAGACATGAAACATGGGGGTCGATCAATACTCCCTTCGGCCCCCAAAATGAACATATCATGGGCAACTCTTCCATCATGTGGGAAAGATCACCTTGTTTGGTGGTTTCCAACCAGTGGTCCTCCCCCCCCCCCTTCCGGAAAACCATGTTTTCTTTCAGCCCAAAAAGATGCTCTTACCCCCGTGCAACTGACTTGGGCACCAGGGGCTGGTCATAAACCAAGATCTGTGGGTTGTTCTCAACCTCCATATTTTTCTTCTGGGGGCCCCATTTTGCGACCACCTGGATAGCGACTGCTTGCGTGCTAGGTCAACAGCCTGCGCCGCATGATGGTCGCTCGCGGCGAGGAACGGGCGGTCAGAGAATTTGGGGGGTAGAGTCACAGGCATAGGTGGCCTTTTGGAAAAATAGATGGCCCTGGTAAATGGAATAAATCCATCTAAACCAGGGCCGTCTATTTTTTAAGCAAACCAACCAAAAAGGACACCTATGGTCACAGGAATATAATTTGACTGTTTGGTGTTTCTGTATCTATGTTTTTTCTAGAAAGCAGGTTGCTTGTTGGGTTTGGGAGTGAACCCACGATAGCGCATTCAAACCATACCATGGATTCGTGTGGATTTAACGACCGACCTGCTACTTTCAGATTCTTTGAGCCAGCCAGGATTCGCTCCCCCTAAGATCAGGTGATCTTAGGCAGAGCGCGATTACAGTGTCGGTGTGTGTGAGTGTCGGTCGTGTCCGCGCGCGTTTTCTTTTTCCGCATGCCAGGAGAAAAGTGAGGACCAAATGGGGTGTTGTCAAAACAACTGACCGGCGTGAAACACACGTATTTCCAAGAGAGGGAAGGGAAGCAAGCAAGGAAAGAAGGAAGGAAGCAAGGGATGGAGGAAGCAAGGGAGGGAGGAAGGGAAGGAAGGGCACAAAAAGGCAAGGGAAGGGAAGGGCAGGGAAGGGAAGGGAAGGAAGGGAGGAAGGAAGGTACAGGAAATGAAAGGAAAAGGAATGACATATTTGCTTAATGCCTAATAAATTTGTGCGTGATATTTTGCCGCACGGCGGCACCCATGCCTGCAATTTGCCTTTTGCTGATGCCTAAGGCCTAAGATTGTACCTGTTCAGATTCCCTCATTTAGAGACAAACCCAGCTGGTGATTCGGATCTCCAGATGCATGTTCCTTGACAACCCGCCCTGATGGGCAATGGGCGTGGCATGCGATGGTTGTAGTATTTCGCTGTTTGGCAGAGCAGCTTGTGCTCTGAAAGCACACTGAACCAAGCGCAAGCAAGCATTCCTGGATCGCCAGTTGCTACTTTGTTCCATGGACTTTACCCCAAAGACCAGCTACAGAGACTGAAAAAAGCGGCAACTTGGCTATCTAGGTTGTCCTTCAATTTCCGTGGTTGTCTTCCAGTGTGTGAACAAACAACAGGGGGCACCCTTACGCACGCATCCCACCAACATGTTCTAACTCTCGCCACAGCGGTGAATGATGGACCCCTTGATGGACCCTCCACGGCACACCATGGCGCTTTTGCCTTCCGGGTTTCCATATTTGACAAGCCACATGTTGGCTGGGCTGTTCAAAGGCATTCCTTATATATTCCTTACCTTGGGTTGCGCAGGGGGTGCCTTTTGCAGTGGCTTGCCTAGCGTGATTACGGATTAGGATGGGCCTTGAACAGCCCAGGGATGTGCAGTCTCCATGCGCAATGCTCCGCTAGGAGAACCTACCATCAGACGTGGATGCAGTGGAAGAGGACTGTCTTGGGGGAACAATCTCATTCATGGGGCTGGGGGAAGGGGGGGGGAGCAAGCCCTTAAGAAGCCTCCCCCTCTGCTTTCATGATCCATGGTTTTGAGCTGAGGTTTCAATCGCAAAGTACTGCTGGCTTTTCGTCTCACCTTGCTTTCCAAAATTTCAACCACGTTTTCCGGTTACAAGGCCAAAGCCCAAGCCTCCAAAGCTGAACCGGCACAAATCCAGCAACCCCGAGATGGCAAATCGTTGTCTGGCGAGGCATTGGTTGGGTGGAACCTACAACTTCTGTGCTTTGCTCTCGGGCTCAGGGCCCATTACTTGAGGTGACGCATGGCAACTCACCAAGGTAAGGTAGGGCAGAGGCTGGTCCTCACCAATGGTTTCTGCTGTGTTGCATCCCGCCACGATCTGCGAGCTCGCATTTGATGCGACCGGCTGCACCACCGGTTTTGACGCCTGCTTGGGTACCCATATTAGTAAGATGCGGGAGAAAAGAGAGCAAAGCCGCGTGTGTCACGTGCCAACGTTTGGTTTCAGGGGAATAGTTACATAGCTTAGCTTCCTTCCCCCAACCCTCTCCCCTGCCACTAACTAGCGGGCTCAGGGGAGGGGCAGTGGGTAGCGCGGCTCGAATGGGCTGGACTGGGCGAATTCTACTCTTCCGTCAATGGAAGCGCATAGGTGTCCTTTGTTGGTAGGCTTGCTTAAAATATACACGGCCCTGGTTTAGATGGATTTATTCCATTTACCAGGGCCATCTATTTTTCCAAAAGGCCACCTAAGCGCTTCCTCCGCCATTGGGATTGGCAGGAACGAGTCCAAGCGCGGCCTTCCGTTTTCTACCGCTTACTCGAGAGCGAAGGCCGGGATCTTTAGTGCCCAAAACCGATTACCAAAAGGGCCATGTTAGTAAGTTCTGCTACTTGGCTTAATACTGTTGGTGGACAAATTCCTGCACAACCTATCAAGCCATGGTATTTACAGGGTTTGTTAGGTGGTGCAAGATTTCATCCATCCACAACAGAAATTGTTGTAGTCCCTATATAAACCTCACTAACCAGGTCCGAACCAAAAGTCAAGGTGTTTTGGTCGCTCACTTGGACTTAGAAAGTGGGAGATAACTGTGGAGGGACCCCCTTGACGGTCTTTGAAGGGGCACCAGAAGGAAACCGTTGCACCTACATCGGGCTAAGTCCTGTCTGACAGTTGATTCCGATAATATGACTGACATTGGTCTTAAAGTACCTCACCATTCAATTTGTTTAAGCCTTGTTGTATGTGTCTGAAGTGTTTGGGCCGAGGCAATTGCAGAGGGCCTTTGTTGTCCAACACAAGCAACAAACCGCGACACAAGCGCAAGGGGCCAGGTTGCCCGGCCAAAGCAAGAAGCGAGGCATACACTCAGGTGCCTCGCGCCAGCGCATGGTCGCGGAGAACTGGGTGGTGGTATCTCCAACATGGAACCCCCCAAAATGGTCACATTTGTTTTAGGTTCATTTAATCTCTCCTTTGTTGGCTTGGGTCGAGCCCCCAAGTTGGGGGATCAACCCCATGGGGAAAAAAAGGAAGGAAAGAACCCCCCCCTAGTTTGGGCAACCCCTTGGGAACCCCCCTGGCCGGGACCCGTTTCCCACTCGCAATGCTCGCAGGTGCTGAGGGACTTCGAAATGGAATGACCCCAAGAAAAAGCCCAAGCAGCTGGTTTTCTTTACATATTCAGGACTTGATATTTGTAGGGGAGTCGTCACGGGATGGCCAACCCCCACCCCCCACCCCCCACCCCGCACCCCCCCACCCCCCACCCCTCCAACCCCCCCAGCCCCACCCCCCACCCCCCCAAACCCCCGACGGACGGAGTTCGCAGGTGCCGACGCCCTGGAGACCTGGGCTGCCGCGGAGGCGGCGGCCTTTGCGCGGGCGAAGCGCGGCCGGTCCCCGCACACGCGGCATGCGCAGGGCAACTCGGCCAAGGCGGCGGGAGGAAGGGGGGGGGGGAGGGGAGAGGAGGTGGTGGGGTGGTGGTGGGGTGGTGGGGGAGGGAACTCGGGAAGGAGAGGGGGAGGGGAGGGGAGGGGAGGGGAAGGGGTGGGGGAGAGGGGAGAGGAGGTGGTGGGGTGGTGGTGGGGTGGTGGGTGGGGAGGGAACTGGGGAGGGGAGAAGGGGGAGGGGAGGGGAGGGGAAGGGGCGGGGGAGAGGGGAGAGGAGGTGGTGGGGTGGTGGTGGGGTGGTGGGTGGGGAGGGAACTGGGGAGGGGAGAAGGGGGACGGGAGGGGAGGGGAAGGGGTGGGGGAGAGGGGAGAGGAGGTGGTGGGGTGGTGGGGAGGGGAGGGGAGGGGAAGGGGAAAAAATGGAGAAAGTAGGGGGCCTGGGGGGTGGTCTGTTGATGGTCCCCTGTTATGTTTTTTATATTCATCTCAAACCTATTAACCACCTTATTCGTTTTTAAAAGAGGGTTTTTAGGGAGCTTATTTATCGTTTTCGTTAAGGTAATCATTTTGGTAATTGCCCCCCTTGTTCATTGTTGGGCTGGGGGCCGACATTTTTTTCATTTGAAAGAGTTAGCCCTTTTAGTAGTTATCAAGTTCTGGGGTGTTGGTGGTGTATTTGTTTTGATATATGTTTTGTCATTGAAATTTTGTTGTAGGTTAAAATTACAGTATAATGAAAGGTTATAAAAGTTTATACTGTTTAATCATATTTTAATTAAATATTATGAATAAACCACGAAATTATTGTTTCTGTTTTCTATTAATTTCAATTGTAATATGTTCTACAGTAATGATTTCGTGTCGTTTCATAGTCTGTTTGGTTTTTTTCAACTGCTTGTTCAATATGGAATTGTAATGACGCTCTACTTGAAATCTTATTCTGTTTAGATGATGAATAAGAACGACTGTTGCAAATATTATTATTATACCTAATTGTTGCATTAACTTGGTGGTTTCAACGCATATGAAAGTGCTTCATCACCTTTCAAACATTTATTGCTAATCAAAGCATAATATCTACTTTCTCCTATGGTTGATGTGGCAGACCACTTGTCTAATGTGGCAGACCACATGTCTGATGTGGCAGACCACATGTCTGATGTGGCAGACCACGTGTCTGATGTGGCAGACCACATGTCTGATGTGGCAGACCACATGTCTGATGTGGCAGACCACTTGTCTCATGTGACACACTCGCGATGTGAATCGTTGTTTTTTAGTAGGAGCAGTAGTTTTACACACGCAGTTGTCACATGTGATTTCAAACCTCTCATTCGTGATGTGTCACATTACATTTGTGATGTGCCACATTACATTTCTGATGTGCGACCTGAAAATAATTCTAATAATTTCATATTATTGGAACTATAGATATTAATATTTTCACTTACATATCGTCGGTGTTTGTCGCTTCGCTCGTGCCTTCTTATATCACATTTCCTAAAAACACCACCACATTCACATTCAATAGTTTCTTTTCTTTTTTCAATGATTGTTTCTTTGTTTTGATGGTAATGTTCCCTACTTTTACTGCATATATATTCCTTGTTCTTTTCCGAGTATTCCTTCCTCATATGTTGGTAATGTTCTTTATTATCCTCTTTCCACTCATTAATTGTTCTACCCGCCACACACCTATTCACACAATCATTATTTTGAATGTAATAACCTTCTCTTTTCAATAGTTGTTCTTTGTTTTCACACGGGTAGTCTTCTAATAATTCAATCTTGCAGTTTTCCATTCCATACTCATCAAATAATAAACGGCAGTTTGTTTTGGTGTTCCATTCCTCGGCTTTCTTATGGTTTTGTCTATGTCTTGCCATTCTTTGACTCAAACTTTCACACGTGCTTCCGATGTAGCATTTATTATAAGCAATATCTGTTATTTTGTAAATCTTTGCATTTTTATATTTACTGCTTTCCATTAATATCATACTGTATCTTCTCTTTAACGCAGTTTATAATGTCCATAAGGCAGTGAATTGAAAGCATCAATGTAAAACCTTTTATTTTCATAATTACTGAGTGATTGCTTGACTTGAGACATTGAAAATAATTGATGGTTGCGACTACGAATAAAATTATATGTTATTTCATGCTTTTTGTTTTGAAATAATGCTTCGTGGTAGTTTTGGTAAGTCAGTTCTTTCTTCACCTTGTGTTTCACTACACCTTTTGATTTCTTTTGTTCTTCTTCTTCACCGTGTATTGTAAAAGCATACGATTTAGGCTTTAACCCTATGAATTGTGTTATTGTTTGACCGTTGCACTCATCCTTGAAATAACCGAGTTTTTTCTTATTTGTTTTGTCATGGCAGGGGTGTTCAGGTGGATAATCGCTAAAGTCCATATATTGGTTTAATTCTTTGAAGTCCTTGTAGATGTCCTCAGTGAATGTTTGAATTACATAACTGTCAGTATCAGTATAAACCAGTTTGATGTTTTCATTGTATTTCTTCTTAAGAACATCATAGTAGAACTGATACATATGTAATTTGCTTAAATCTAAAATACTCATTCCCAGGAAAATCGGTTTATCCAGTTTCAGTTTTGCTTTAGTTTTTTCAACTCCTACGAGATTTTCATTAATAATAAATCTGTTTTTGAATGTTGGATTATTAACACATTTTTCATATCTTACCTCATTATCAACTAATTCAAAGTCCATATGATTTCGTTTGTCTTCCATAGCTTTTCCATACACACTATTATTCATTAATTTGAATAAATCTTTCTCAAAATCGCTTTTGGCTTCTTTCCTTTTACCGGTGTTGAAGTCAATCCACGGTTTCAACCATGCCCTCTGTTGAAATTTTATTATCCTATGGACTTTGGTCATTTTCATTCCCATTTTCAAATAATACTGTAAAGTCTTGATATGAACCACATATTTTTCTTTATCCTTTAGATTTAGTATTAACTTACTTGTTTTCTCGTCCTTGGGATTTTTGCCATCATAATATATTTTGTAGACTTGCTTTTGATAATCAGAAAGCATATTCACATTTACATTCATTATTTCAGGCGCTAGTGGATAGTCAGAGTGGAAGTCGTGCAATGTTTCGGGATATTCCAAATCAACTTCCATAATATAACCAAACTCATCGTTTTCATTCCATGTTTCAACACTGGGCGTTTTCTTTGCCCACTTGATATTTTTTAGCGGTAACTTCTGGGACATTGCCAAACCATACAAGTTATTAGCATCCAAGTAACTAATATAATTTGATGGCTTGTTCTCATCGTATGCTTCCCCCATATACTTATTATTTGCCACTGCTAATTTATGACTTACCTGACACATTCCTCCTCTCATTCCCTTTTCAACCATCTCAAACATTTCTTGGTCATGCAATTGTTCTATTTCAACACCAGTTTTTAGAAGCATCGCGTCCCATGCGAAATTTGGCAACGTATAATAATGAGCGGGGTCTAAACCGTAGTATTCCATACACAAGTCTCTAAAGTTTTCAAATACATCGGTCAATAGTAAAACATCAGTTCTTAAATACAGGTTGTGATACTGCCCGAGTGTTTTAATCCCGAAGTGCTTCCATACTTTCAGTGCCCTTTCATAATCTTTATCACTTACATGTTCTTCACTCAATTTACTGTAAAACGCTTCTTTCGGTGGTAAAGCCCTTTCCTTAAATCTTTCAATATCATCAAAGTAGTCATAGGGATAAATACCCTTATCAGTCAATAAATCCAAATCTTCATCGGTTTTAACATACGGGTTTCTAACGCTGTATCTGAAATTGTTCTTCCAATTCTCACGCTTTTTATCATCCTCATATTTACTCAACTTCACCAACTTATCCAACGAAGACGATAAGAAACTGAAACTGTCCTTGAAACAAAGATTTTTAAAACCAAAGGTTATAAACTTTTCGCTGTTCTGAGCGATACATTCTATTTTAGAATTCTTGTTCAGTTCGTGAGCCTTGTTGATGATTAAGTGGGCATCATAGTTTTTAAGGTTTTGAAGAAACACAGGGATTTTATAATATCTCATACTAAATCGTAGATTGCAGTCCTCGTGGGCGCAACCTCTATACTGTCCAGTAAAGTGGCAATGGTCCCAACACTTCTTTTCACCTTCCTCAAATTTGTTTCCGCAAATGAAGCAGTTAGTGGCATTATTGAAGTCCTCCCAGTCCTCCTCGGTTTCAATACGGTCTTTGACCTCCTTCATTTTCTCAAAAACATCCCATTTCACTTTATGCATTCTTTTTACAAACACATCCATACAATCTTCACCTCTGTATAAGTAAGGCTCACTACTTCCGGTTATAGCATTGACTACATTAATCATAAAACCACACGGACGATGATTTTGATATGATGTAGTTTTAGCTTTTGCCGATTTGCTTTTAACATCAATTGGCACAGTTAAACATTCAAAGTCGGCATAGATTACGAATGGAGCTTTAAGTTTCTTGAAATGGTTTTTGAATGCTATTGTTTCACCTGCTTTTGGCATTTCTATTTTTTGACCCTCAACTGCTAGACATCCCTGTTCTTCGTGTTTCTTTAAAAGTTCTTCGGTCTTGAAACCATGTGAGCAGGTTCTACAGTGATACTTCTTCGCCTTCATCTTGTTAGTCTGACTACTCATTAACTTATCGTATTTTTTGATATAAGCGTAATGCGATTTAACTTCATCAGTCAATTTAATTAAATCGATTTTGTGTTGTGCTTGTGGGTTGTTGCTTCTTTTGTATCATAAAATCGTTTTACTATTCGTATCAGGGTTGATGTAATAAACATTGACGGATATGTGTTTATTATCTTCTTCAAACTGTTCTATTTCATCATTACCTACTGGAAAGTTAACATTATCCCACTTGATGAAACTATCGTTAACATATTTCTTATAATGATACATCTCGCAGGGATGGTCTTTTTTGAATAACTCATAAAATCCACATTGAACAGAATATTTAAAACATAAGTCATCCTCATTTTTAATATTAATAC